ACGGGGTTCTCCAGAAGCAGTCAATTACAGGTAATGCCACATCACCTCTTCAGTGTTCTAGGAGGGTGCCTACCGTACCTACAACACCAGCATCCCATATGCATGCCTGTTCAAGTCCTGGCGGCTCCAATTCTGATCCAGCTCCTTGCTAATGGCCTGGGAAAGAAGCAGAAGCTGGTCGAAGCACTTGGGCCCCTGCCACCCATAGGAGAGACCCAGAGGAAGTTCCTGGTTCCTGGCTTCAGCCTGGCCTAGTTCTGTCGTAGCCATTTGGGGAATGAACCAGAGAACTGAACATCACCCTCTGTCTCCCTTTCTCTTTGTTACTCTATCTTTCAAATAAATAAATAAATGTTAAAAAGAAAAAAGATTTGACATTTTTAAATGTTTTAAATAGTTGGGGACAGCACTGTGGCACAGTGGATTAAACCTCCACCGTGGGACCCAGAAGCAGCTCCTGGCTCCTGGCTCCAAACTGCTGAGCTCCAGCCACTGCCACTGTTTACAGTGAAACCAGTGGATGGAAGACCTCTCTGTCTGCCTGTAGCTCTGCTTCAAATAAATAATCTTTTTAAAAATGTTTTAAATAAAAAATTTCCTATACAGAGATAACTTTATCAGCTCCCTACCAAAAGGCAGATTCAAAGCTTTTTCCAGGAGTGCTCAAGGATTAAGTGATCCAGCTACACTCAGTAAGCCACGTGACATTTTGACAAACAACAAGCATTTCAGGGATGGCTTTTGGGGAGAGTGATGCTACTCATGGTCAGGCAAAGGAGATCATAAACCCATGACCACCACTGGTACGCAGGTCAGTCTAAATAAACTAACAAGCTTCAAACAAAGACTCAGTTAAAATGAATCTCTCTGAAGAGAAAAGCGTATGAATCCTACAGATTTGGTTTGTCAGACATCAAATTTTAGAAAACAAATTTCCATTGGCTTCCAACAAAAACATGTAACTTCTACTGAAAGATTCACCTTGAAATAGCAGGTAACATAGAATAAATGCAGGAATGCTGTTTTATTTTCCCACTATTCTGGATACTAGGCAAAAGTTTATTAGAGAAGTAACTGTATAACATTCTGGATTATACAATGATAAAAAAGTACACAGAAAATGTAGAAACAGGTAAAGAGTAAAAATAATAAGAGCTGAAAAAACAGCTCTAGTGAGTAAAAACTACTGAAGTTGGAAAAAACATTTTCTAATACAGAGTGGTTAACTTGTCTAAAGAGTAATGAGTAATTTATACTTAGAGATGGACTGCAGATTGAGTAAAATAAACAGAAAAGTTGAGAGCAAGAGTACCTGATCTGTAAATGTGGGGTATGCATTTCAAGGCTCAAGCCTTACTCCTTATCAAAAAACTGCCCTGATCCCTCCATTCCAGCAAGAACTCTAAATAACTAAAGGTAGTGTCAAAATAATGTAATTCAGAATTTAATTGCTCCATAAATGCTCACATTTTAGTTTTCTTTTAAATGTGCTACTGTGTCAGAGCAAATATGAACCCATCACCATGTGTCTTCAAAAACTATCTGACAAAATTTTTTTTAATTACCTAACACAGACGAATGCACAGGTTAGATTCTCAACTATAAGCTGGGAGACCAAATCATGTATTGTTTAAACCGGGACACATCTGAAATGAAGGGGAACTCATATGGAGCGAAATTACCCAGGAGGAACTGAACCACAGGTGTATAGAAGGGCAGCTTCCTCTACCAGGTAACACTTATTCTTTCCCTTCAGCACAACGACAGCTGCTACTGTTTACTGCACTGACAGACCGTATAAACTGCATCAAGACACCACTTGGGACACCTGTATCCCTTTCAGAGCACCTGGGTTCCAGTGCCTGAGCTGGAGTTCTGGCTCTCCTTCCAATTCCAGCTTCGTGCTGAAGCACATCCTGGGAGGCATAATAGGGGTCCCTGCCACCCACATGGGAGACCCCTATTGAGTTCCAGGCTCCCAGCTTCATCCCAGCCCCATCCTGGCTGCTGTGAGCATCTGAGGGGTAAACCAGAGGATGGGAGATCTGTCTCTTTCAAATAAATGAAAATAATATTTTTAATGCAAACATTATAGATAAGGCCAAATCTTGGAAAAGTTAAATAGTTTCCCCAAGATTGCAAGTGACGAATTGGCAGAATTCAGTTTTGAATTAAAAGCTATGAGGTACTACAAAACCTACACAAGTTGAAGGTACCACAGACACTGGCCTTTTACTGGGTCAGGGTCTAAAATTGCACTTGTAGACTCATAAATGAAAAATGCTCAGGATCAAGAGGTGAGGGACGAAGGAGACTGAGCTGCTCAGAGGCACAGGCTGCAAGTCTAAAGAGAGTAAACAGTGACTGCCTGTGTGCAAAAGCTGTGACTGGCAACTGTGTACCTGTCACAAAAAGCATATGGAAGGATTCCGACTGCCAACTGGCAGGCTCCGGGAAGACTTCCCAGAAGAGGTGGGACCTTGATGGAGTCCTGCAAAAGAACAAGTCTGAGCTAGCAGAAACAGTGTTCCAGCAGGGGGCCACAGACTGGCAGGAGCAAGGAACAGGGAGGGGACATAACTTGGAAGAGAGGAAGTGGTGAGACAGGAGGCTATGCAGGCTGAGGGGCCGACTGCCTGCAGAGCTCCAAGGCTTGAATTTTTCTTCCTAAAGGTTAAGAAAGATCTTTACATAATTTGAAAAGGGGAATGGCAGGTCACCGGCACATTTTTTAAAAAGATCAACATGGTCACAGTTTGGAGAACTAGACAGATGGAGGGGAGGAGAGAGGAAGCAGTAAAGCTGGTTGTTAGGGTCCTACAGCGATAAAATGTCAACATTCTTTTCCTATTAAAAATGCTGAAGAAAGCAAATGAAAATTGTCTCTACTGGTGACAGAAACAAGAAAAATAATGAGGGACTAAGAATTAAATACTGAAACAACAAATCAGCACAGGAAGAAGTGATCACATATGAGTACCACACCTCATTTACCTGTGAAGACCTAAGGGATTGCTCCACCAAGCTTAAAAAATAATTTAAGCCACTATGAAGAAAAAGCTTTAAAAAATCTCCTTCCGTCCTTCCTTCCTTCCTTCCTTCTTTCCTAAAGAGGGTACAGGTAGCCTAAAACACAATTTAACCATGCCATCATCCAAAGGCAGCACATTAAAATGAGAGATTTCTCGGCTACACTCATCAAACATCAGTTCTTAAACCTTACTAGCCACCTGACAGAATGACTCAGCCACAGGGGGCCCTGGTTTTCTCTTCAAGGTAAGGACAACCTTTGCCAGCTAATGCTGTGGCAAGGCTCAAACAAAACAGAAACACTTACAGGCAGTTTTTGGTTTGTGTTTTAATATAAAGCCCCTCTGGGTTAACAGTCTAGTGAGAAGATCTCACTAGATCTACAAAAATTTTTCTTCCAAAAAAAAAATCATAATCATCCTGAATCAATTACCATTCCTGAAATAACCTGCAAGCTTGAGTTATTAGTTTGTGTTTTTTTAAAATTATTTATTTGAAAGGCAGAGTTAGAGAATCTTCCATCCACTGGTTTGCTCCACAAATGACCACAACCACTTTGGCTAGGCCAGGCCAAAGCCAGGAGCCAGGAGCCAGGAGTGAGAAGCTTCTTCCAGGTCTCATTCGTGAGTGGGGGCTCCCAAGTTCTTAGGCCATCTTCTACTGTTTTCCCAGGCGCATGAGCAGGGAGCTGGCTTTGAAGTGGAGCAGCTAGGACACAAACGGGTACCCATGTGGGATGCTGCAGCGGCAGGCCACGGTTTAACCCGCTGGGCCACAGGGCCTGCCCCAGGCCTGAGATATCTTATAGAGTCAATTCTATAAGACAATTCCTTCATTTTATTATTCGCAGAATTATTACAAATCACCTTCAATGAAGTCTTAAGTTGACAAAGACCTACTATCACAGCACAGGGAAAAAGAATTACTAACTTTCAATAGAATCCTGATCAGTGGGTAGATGTTATTTCAACTTTCTTGCTATATTCAACCCTGGGAGTCTTGTTCACTCTAAACCAAGCACAATCATTACTGTTAACAAACCATTTTCTCATGTTTCTGGGTGCATGGGATACAAAAACTACACTATCAATACACACCAATTGTGGTGCTCAAAACTACTCCATGAACCTCATTCAAAGACACCTGAAACCTTATCCTGTATCAAAAAGGTTAAGTTCTGAAACACACTTTCAAAGACCAGTAACAGACTGGTGGTTATGGTTCTTACTAACACCACTCGCTAACTGCTTATATTCAATGCCACCCATGTAGTACAGCATTTACATCTCGCATTACAACCACCCCAGGGTGATTATCATTGTCCCCATTTCACAAATATGGAAACTGAAGTCAGCAAGGTTAAGTGACCTGCCCAAGACCACAAGGCGAGATCAGTGGCAGAGCTGGGGCTGAATACAGGCGGGCACCAGAACTTTCCAGAACGCCATGCAAACCGCGAGCAATAAAGGGTCTCTAACCCGGGCTGGAACCTCCAGGGAACATGGGCAGGAAAGGCCCAGGGCTTCTCGTGTACGCGGGTACAGTAAGGCGAGGGCTCCGAAAGCTGCGCCGCCATACCCAGGCAGCGAGCGGTGGGCCTGCCTTGATGCCCCAGGGTCCACATCCTTCCTAGTAATCAGCCTCGCGGCCTTTTCCCAGCTCTCGGTCCCGGGGAAGTGCAGGGTAGCGCAGAAGCGGGTTGAGGTACCGCTCTGCGGCGGCGGGAGAGCCTTTCCCTCCATCCACCACCAACCTCTGCCTCGCGACCGCCAAAGGCGGCCCTACGCAACCAGCTCCGCGCCATCTTTCCCACACCAAATCCGCCTCCTCTAAAGTCACGCCCAGGGCTCCGCCGCGGCGTCCGCACGTCGCCGTGACGTCAGCCCGCTGCGGCTGCGCTATAAAGGGCACCCAGACGCGGCCGAAGCTGACGCCCTGCTACGGTGGTGGCGGGAGCACGTCTCTCGTACCTCTGCTCTGCGGCTGTTGGCAGGGAGCGGGATGCGGGGGCAACGCCGTGGGTGGAAGACGGGGATGGCAAGCCAGGGAATGCGAGGAGGCAGATCGGAGGTTTTCTGGGAGTGCTGACGGTGGGAGGGCGCCCTCAGAGGTGCGGCGAGACAAAAGCCGAGCTGGTAACCGGCGAGTGGCTTCTGTGGCAACGGCCGCCCCGCCCCTTCCGTCTGCGCAGCAGGCGCAGCCCATTGGTTGGAGGGGGGACGCGCAAGCACCGCCCCTGCAATGCGGGCCGTTGGGAGGGGTGGGGCCCGCGAGTGGCGGGGTTTCCGTCGCTCGTCCGGTAAACTCGGTTTTTGCGGTGCTGTTGTTTTAAACGAAAAGGGCTGCACTTGGGTGTCGTTAACGAAGATGTTAACCGAAACCGGCCAGAAGGGGAATTAAGGCCAATTCCGAATTTTTGGACTCTCGGCAGGAAGATCCCTGCGATTGCTTTTTTAAAGGGAAAATTTGAAAAAGCGAAGGCAGCGGCAGCAGGAGGCAACTTGGTTGTAAACCTGTGGTATTACTGTTTGGCTGGCGTCCTTCGCTGGCTTCGGGTATTTTCCTCTGGAGAAAGCCAGACAGTGTTCCCCAGGGTGTCTTCCAGGTCTCAAATTCTTTGTATTTGCGCCCCGGCCAGCTGGGATGGTTTATAAACTCCTGAGCAAGCACAGCGAGATTTTACTTTGAAACATTGAAAGCTTATTCCGTGCCTCTGCTTAATGTTCATGTTATGAGATGTACGCCAACATACTCGGGTATTAAGTTCACAACTGAAGCAACTGCAAACCACGCAGTTTGATCATTCATGCTTTTACCTCGTGGGTTTCACCGTGGGCTCTCTCCCCTGGAAGGTTCCAGCAATGCTTGTTATTCCCCCAACACAGTGATTGTCCAGCAAAAAGCTCTTAGGATAAACACACTGACTGCTTCTGGAAAGCACTGGGGATTGAGAGCTGAAGGGTTGTGAAGGGGCCAAGAAGGGGACCCGGGAGGGTGACATTAGGGCAAGGAACAAGAACAATTCCAGGCGCCTTTCCAACTCCAACCTAACGAGTCTAGCTAACCTGGCTAACGTCCCATAATCAGAAATAAGAAACAGATGTGAGGCTCCTTTTAGCGTGTTTAGTTAAATTGCTCTGGTATTAGTTGTAATCACTTTTATAAGACATTCAAGAGGAACTATCCATGAGAGCTAAAGTTAAACTTCCTAAAAATGATTACATAAGTGTCTCAAATTAGTTATTTCAGCTAAGTTGTCCCGGCAAAGTGAATATGGCCCCTCACTTCATCTAAACCTAATGTATTCCTAAAATCTGGTTGAATAGTGAATTTGTGAACAGAAAGGTCCCTTATTATTATTTAAATGGGAAAAATTACTTCATTTTAGTCCACCAAAAATCCTGATCAATATTTCCAAATGTCATTGAACACTTTTGACCACATATGAAACAATCTATCAAAATTACCACATCATTTAAGGCAAGGGCAAGCATATTTTTCTGTAAAAGGCCAGATAGTAAATGATTTAGGTGTTGTAGGTGTTTGTCATGCTAATTTTTTTGAAGATTTATTTATTTATTTGAAAGGCATGGTTAAACAGAGGAAGAGAGAGAGATCTTCCATCTGCTGGTTCACTCTCAGATGTCTGCAAAGGCCGAAGCTGAGCCTATCCGAAGCCAGGAGCCAGGAGCTTCTTCCTGGTTTCCGATGTGAGTGCAGAGGCTCAAGGACTTGGGCCATCTTCCACTGCTTTCCCTGGCCGTAGCAGAGAGCTGGATCAGAAGTGGAGTACCTGGGACTCAAACAGATGCTTTACCCATTATGCCACAGCGCCATTTAGCTCTACCACCATATTTGCTCAGAACAGACACAGAACACATAAACATAGGAGGTTCACTGTGTGCCAATAAAATTTTATTTACAAAACAGAAGTGGCAGATTAGATTTGACTGCTAGATATAAAGCATTTAAAACATTACATACCTAATATTGAACTCAGTAGCAACACATTCACACAAGGACTACAACAGTACAATGTTGGATGAAGTTGTGATTTCCTTACTCATAGCCACAAATGCATAAAAAATAGCAAACAAGTATATCAAAGATATTTAATGAATAAAAATTTCTCAACAAAGTAAATTTTTAATGATGATGTGATAAACTGGTACATATACACAATGGAATACAACTCAGACATTTTTGAAAAAGGATGAATCTTTTTTTTTTTTCCTAGGAAGGATGGACTCTTGCCTCCACAGTGTGGAGGGAACTGGAGCTCATTATGTTAAATGAAATAAACCAAGCACAAAAAGACAGGTACCACATGATTTCATTCATGTGGAATCTTTAAAAAAAAAAAAAAAGTGATCTCATAAGTGTTAATGGTTAGCAAGAGATTGGGGATGGGGAGGAGCCCCGGAGTTGGGGGGCGGGGGTGGAGAGCTAATTAATGGATAGTAAATTATAACTAGAGCGCAGTAAGAAGTTCTGAGGTTCTATTCCACAGTAGGGTGGCTATAAATATTTACCTATTTCTGTATAAAAAGATATCTAGAAGGTAAGATTTTGAATGTTATGCCATAAAGAAATATTAAGTATGTGAGGAAGTAAAGATACTTACCTTGACTGTACATTCCACAGTTGTGTGTGTGTGTGTGTATATATATACATACATATATATGGGGGCCGGCGCTGTGGCTCATTTGGTTAATCCTCCACCTGTGGCGCTGGCATTCCATATGGGCGCCTGGTTCTAGTCCTGGTTGCTTCTCTTCCAGTCCAGCTCTCTGCTGTGGCCCAGGAGGGCAGTGGAGGATGGACCAAGTGCTTGGGCCCTGCACCCACATGGGAGACCGGGAGGAAGCACCTGGCTCCTGGCTTCAGATTGGCGCAGCGCCAGCTGTAGCAGCCATGTTGGGGGGTGAGCCAACGGAAGGAAGACCTTTCTCTCTGTCTCTCTCTCTCTCTCACTGTCTATAACTCTGTCAAATAAAAAAAAAAAAACTACTTTCATATATATGAAATCCATGCCCACACCTCAAAAGTGGAGTCCAATTCTTCTTCCCTTGAATTTGACCAGTAGAATGTGGTGAAAATGATGCTGGGCCAGTTCTGCTTCCTTCTCTTGAAAGCCAGCTACTATGTGAGAAATTCAATTATCCTACTGATTCCAGCCATTTTGGTCACCTACCTGAGGTGCCAAAGGTGAGTCGTAGACTGTGAAGGTCCAACCGTGTTCCCAGCTGAATGCAACAGTATGAGTGACCCTGGCCTCTATTTCTGTGAGCTTTTCTCTGAGTCTCCATGATTTTTTCTACATTTTTGCTTTTTCTTATTTTCTTCTCTGAAAAATAATGGTAGTATTGGTGATAATATCTTATACCATATGTTGCTAAATCTGTACATAATAGGTATAGAAAGATTTTATGGAAGGCAACTTTATGCCTGTTTTGTAAAGGAGAGATATTCTACCCTATCTCCCATTTTCTTTATTGAGTTATCATTAAAAGTAGTTCCTAGTTTTCTATTCGCTTTAGTGAATTTTGGAGGGAAGAATGTATTTGTGTGTGTGTGTGTGTGTGCAAGGTAATCCGTCTAGTTAGTGGCAATGAGATGGAGAATGTGAGGGAAAGTAATGCCATTAAATCTGAGAGATTAACTACCTCATTTTAGAGGTGATGAACCCAAAGCTGAAAGATTTCAGTGACCTGATGTGGTCCAGTAGCAAATGAGTGCAACCAGAACCCAGCTGTTTATAGTGCATGGTACACTGATATGCCTGGAATGGCTTATAGAGAACCCATAAGCCAAATCTTAGCCTTGTGTCCAAGAAGGACCTCATATAAATGGTCCTCAGAAAGCATGGCCACCTTTACTCTTCTTTAAAATAATCTGCACAGGTGACTTCATAAATTCCTGTGACCCACTAGATAAGATGTGTAAAAGTGCTTTGAGAACTGCACAAAATCTGAGAGATTACTTCTAATAATGTCCGGAACCCACAAACCTTTATCACCAAGAAAGTTTTCACAGTACCCAAATTCAATGCCTCCTTCTACAATGTGACAGTGTCCCTGTCTTGTTCAATTTTGGGACTTTTCATCATTAAGCTCCCACACAGTTATCTCTTAAGAGCCGCTTGCTTTCTGTTGCATTGTGTTTCACCGTATCTTGTTCTTGATCTCCATTGCTTCGCCTCCTGCTGGTAATTCAACAGGCACCAATGTCTTCTCAGATTCTATCTGGACCTTTGATTTGAAAATTTATAAACTTGAAGAAAATAGGTTAATGGAGGCATGAAATGTGCCATCTGGGTCCTGGGCAAAAACAAGGGACAGCAATTGAATATCAGTCCTCAATTGCCTTGGCCAGTCAGCAACTTACACAAGAGGACATGGTGTCGAGAAAGTCTTCTTCAGAAAGCTATTTTTAAAGTGTGTTCATGAGCTTAATTTTTGAACCTATTGCTCTGCTGATGGGAATAAATGTTACACACACACACACACACACACACACACACAGGCTGGTGCCGTGGCTCACTTGGTTAATCCTCCGCCTGCGGCACCGGCATCCCATATGGGGGCCAGGTTCTAGTTATGGTTGCTCCTCTTCTAGTCCAGCTCTCTGCTGTGGCCCAGGAAGACAGTGGAGGATGGCCCAGGTGCTTGGGCCCTGCACCCGCATGGGAGACCAGAAAGAAGCACCTGGCTCCTGGCTTCAGATCGGCACAGCACTGGCTGTAGCAGCCATTTTGGGGCATGAACCAATGGAAGGAAGACCTTTCTCTCTGTCTCTCTCACTGTCTATAACTCTACCTGTCAAATAAATTTAAAAAAAAGTATATAAAAAAAAACAAGAGATTGGCATCACACTGCCCCTGAAGATGCCCAGGAGAGACCTAGCGTTGGTCAAAACCCTGCTGAGAGCAGGAACAAGTCTTTCCCTGCCTGCTCCACTTGCCTCCCCATCACCCTTAAGTATTAGCACACAGCAGAAAACAGTGTGCAGTGGCCTCGAGTCTCCACTCTAACCCAGTGAATCAAACATTTTTCTTGGTTTGCGACAGTTTCCAATAGTTATCACTGTATGTGGAGTTCTTATACACTAAGGAAAGAAGGGTCCTAGAATAACGTGGTCACTGAGACAGAACATGGTACACAGATAAACCATGGAACTTGGAGTCAGTGGGTTTCTTTTTTTTTTTTTTTTCTTATTTGACAGGTAGAGTTATAGACAGTGAGAGAGAGAGAGACAGAGAGAAAGGTCTTCTTTCCGTTAGTTCACGCCCCTAATGGCCGCTACGGCTGGCACTGTGCTGATCGGAAGCCAGGAGCCAGGTGCTTCCTCCCGGTCTCCCATGTGGGTGCAGGGGCCCAAGCACTTGAGCCATTCTCCACTGCCTCCCAAGGCCACAGCAGAGAGCTGGACTGGAAGAGGAGCAACCGGGACTAGAACCCAGCACCCCAACAGGTACTAGAACCCGGGATGCCAGCACCACAGGCGGAGGATTAGCCAAGTGAGCCATGGCACCGGCCACCAGTGGGTTTCATTTTAGCACCATGATAGTACTCTTGACCTTAAACACATTAGTACATTTTCTTCTTTACAATTTTTATTTATTTATTTTTATTTGTTTGTAAGGTAGAGAGAGAAAGAGTTGGAGAGAGAGAAAGAGAGGGAGAGAAGAGAGAGAGCTCTTTCATCCACTGGTTCAACCCCCAAATGCCCACAACAGAGGCTGGCTCAGGCTGAAACCAGGAACCTAGAACTCAGTCATGTCTTCCATGTGGGCAGCAGAGACACAAGTACCTGAGCCATCACCTGGTGCCTTACAGAGTACACAGTAGCAGGAAACTGGAACGAGGAGCAGAGCCAAGATTTAAAATAATGCACTCTTGGGGGCCCTTGTTGTGGCATTGGGGGTAAAGCCACAGCCTGCAATGCCAGAATCCTATGTGGGCACAGGTTTGAGTCCTGGCTGCTCCACTTCTGATCCAGCTCCCTGCTAATGCACCTGGGAAAGCAGCAGAAGATTGTCCAAGTCCTTGGGACCCTGTACCTACGTGGGAGACCTGAAAGAAGTGCCTGGCTCATGGCTTTGGCTTTGGCTTTGGATAGGCCATTGAAGCCATTTGGTTCATGAACCAGAGGATAGAAGATCGATTTCCTCTCTCTCTCCTCTCTCTCTCTCTCTCTACCTTTGCTTCTCTGTAACTCTGCCTTTCAAGTAAATAAATATATCTTTTTAAAATATGCACTCTGATATGAGATACAGGCATCCCAAGTGGCATTTTAATTTCTGTGCCAGGAGCCCCAAGATTTTAGATTTTCTGAGCCTTGGTTTTATAATCCATACAATAGGCATAGTAACACCCATCACTCAATAAACAGTAGTTCCTTCTGGAAATAAAAATCACACATGCATCAGGTAATTGGCATTTAAGTGGGCTGATGTGTAAACTCCAAACCATTAAGTAATTATCAGACATTATTAATTCAGCGTAAAGTATTTAGGAAGCTTGACATATACCCGATACCGAGATGAGCACTAGAGGAAACGGAAGGCTGGATAAAGCAGGGCCTGCCCTCCAGGAGAGAGTTGCTGGAAAAGAAAAAAAAGGCAATGAAGGCCTCTGTGGCCTGCATGAGTATCCACACTCCCCACACCTGGCCTTCCCTAGGGGACATCTGACACCTTCACTCTGGCCAACACAGGAGCGCTTGCCCAAACTGCCTCACCCAGGTGCCCCAGGGACAGGGCTGCAGGGTGGTGAATTTCCAAATCTTCAGAATAAGTAGACAAAGGATTCTCACAGCAAACAAAATCTGACCTGAGTGCCATGGGGAAGTTGTTGTAGGTCTGATGGGGGAGGTTATCAAGGACAAGGAGAGGAAAAACACCATCGGTCTGTTTTTCTCTTCTGCTGCTGGAGGATCAAGCAGTCCAGGGTTACTGATTCCCAGCCCCGTCAGCTGGGCCTGCTGCTTTTAAGCTCCTTTTGTTTTATTTCCCTCTGCCTTCTGAGAAGATAGAAAATGAGTAAGGGGCAGATTTCTTGCCCAACTATGACTCAGGAGAAAGTTCAGCCACAGAACAGGCAAGCGTGGCAGTGCCTTAGAGAAAAAAGGCTTGTCGAGGCTGGTCGCAGGTAGATCCACCCCAGATTCTTGAGAGAAGGCACCTCCTTCGTCATACATTCTAAGATCCCCAGAGTTCAGGAAGAAACCATCGGCTTTGGTACTGACCGCCTGGTACGATGTACTCAGCAGGCCCTCTGTGAGTACAACAGAAGCTTCTCTACAACATGACCCACAGGGACCCCACAGGGCCTGTCTGCAGCCTGACACTTGTGGCCCTCCTGGTCATCCTAAGCACAGAACACCCATCCCTGGGAGCCGGGATACAGCTTCGAGACAATGGGTATGATGGAGTCCTCGTGGCAATAAATCCTCAGGTAGCTGAGAATCAGAGCCTCATCTCAAACATTCAGGTGAGTGGCAGTCATGAAATCAATACCATTATCCCACTGGATCAGATCTGTAGCCTTCTCTATTAAGCTAACAATCCTGCCTGGTTTGTATTTGACCAGTAGAGAGAACAGCACTTAAAGTTGGCACCCAGAATCATGACGTGATCGAGACCACCAAAGTGTTGATCTAGCCCTCTTTTTGTCGTCATTGGTTACTACTAGTTTTAGTGTTCTTGTTTTCCCTCCATAACTTTTTTGGGGTAGCAGGGTAGAAAAACAGCAACCCACTGTAGAAACAAAGATTGACTCTTTGATGAGTAGGCAAGATAGTGCTGTTACCGGAGAAATTACAGGGTTCTTGTCTTCACGCAAGAAAGAATTCAGGCGTGAGACAGAGAGTAGTGGGAGGTAAAATAGCAAGGTTTATTAGGGAAAGGACATCATCTGTAAGGATGGATGGGCACCTCTCCAGACAGGACCTGGGAAAGAGTGCAGTCGCTCGCTCGGACTGGGGGGTGGGAGGGGAGGAAGGAGCGAGGTTACAGGTTGAGTGGAGTACACCCTGGCCAGACCAGGCGGGCGGCTCAGCAGAGAGGCAGAGGGCTGAGCGCGCAGTCCGGTTGAGACCAGGGGTTTTTAAGGAGATGGGTCTTTGTCTTCACACATCTCCTCCTGAAACAAAGGATTTTATGGCTGTAAATATTAAGAAGCTCCTATCTGAGTTTTCCCTTGAAGGTATCAGACAGGAGGAAGCCTAGCAGGCGCCATCCTGGGTTCAGAGAAAGGGTGAGCAGGACCCCCTAGAGAATGGGGATCCGGAGCAGGGTGTTTGAAATGCAGCTACTGGGCTGCATCTGGGAGATTGTGGAAGATTGGTCAGGCAGAAGGGATGTGGACCTCCACCTGGCAGGTTATCAGATAGAAGGGGGCAGGGCAGGATGTGAATGCCGGGCTGCCCATGAAACATTGTCAGGATGACTTTGAGATGCAGATGCATATGCTGGACATAGATGTCTTCTCTTTAGGCCTTTATGTCACACACACATAAGCTCATAACTGACTTCCTACCTAACAGTGCTTACTAAAACCATTGTGTTGGATTCCATCCTGAGGGTGGGAATTCTTAGAGAGAAAGGGTGAGAATCTGTGTGGAATGCCAAAGCCCCCAAACCTTCCTTCTCATCTAACTATTTTCACTTTATTCTGGCAAGGGAGGATCATTACTTATGAGCTTCCTTTGGTATTGCTCGAGCGAAATCAGTATGGCCATAAAGTGTGGGCTCAGACACACCCACAGGTGTGACCTAAGAAGGCTTTGTACAGCCAACGCTTAAAAGGCTTTCATGAAATTAGGAAACTTTTGAAGGCAAGTCCAGACACACAATCAGTATCCTAACATCTCTTCCAGATCACCTTTTCAAGCTCTTTTTTCTTTTACAGGTTTTCCCAAAATCAAAAGTTTATTCTAAAAGAAAACTGGCTCCTTCAAAATATTTTGCTATTCTTTATTATTACTGTCTTAAGTATAACAGGAAAACCAAAACATAAAGGACTGACATGTGATAAAATAAATTTTTCTCTTGTCATAGGAAATGATAACTGAAGCTTCCTTTTATCTATTCAATGCTACCAAGAGAAGAGTGTTTTTCAGGAACATACATATTTTAATACCTGCAACATGGAAAGCAAATAATTACAGCAAAGCAGTACATGAATCATATGAAAAGGTAAGAATACAAGATTTTATTAAATGAGCTTAACTTTTTCCTCCAGGAGGAGGGGGAAAAACACTCAAATATGCTGTACTTAAACTCTGAGCATGAGGATTTAAGCAAAAGCAAATCACTTACATTAACACACAAATAATATTACTGAATAGAATGTTGATGAGGAAATAGATGAATATTGAATATGCCATAAGTACATAAAACTGTATTGTGCTAGTTAAAAGTGTTTTGATTTTTAAAAACTAAAAAAAATGAAAATAAAATAAATGATTGAAAATAGTGGGATAAAAAATTAAGTAAAATGCCACTGTCCAAGTAGCTTCTCAGATCTCTTTATTGTGTACTTTACAGGCTCCTTTCTGAATTTTTGGTTGAGAACCAAGAATCAGTTTTATGCTACTGAGGATGAGGTGGGAAGGGACAAGTCCAATTATGACTGTCTTCATTTACATCCTGTCAGGGGCAGTGGACATGCACATCTGCACCAAAACACAGGCCACCCTCACAAAGAATGTGACTCTTTTTGGGCCATGGTGAAAATGAGTGGAATTTCACATTGGTTCAAATCCAGGATGTTTTTATAGAGGAGTAAAGAGAAAAGAAGGCAGGAAGGCAATGGGTGTGTGTGTTAGGGATGAAGTGTGTATGTTGGGGACTGGGGGATTGGGGAAGGTTTGCCTTTTCTTTTCTAACCAAAAAAAGAGCTTAACCTCAAGTACTCTCATGAACTGCAGGTCCTGGTTAAGTATGACATCTAGCACTGGATGGAATACACGCTATAAATACATGTTACATGAGTCGGTTTTTAAGATATTTAAAATCTGTTTGAAAGGCAGAAAGAGAGAAAGAGAACTTCTATCCACCATTTCACTCCCCAAATAGCCACCACAGCCAGGGTTAGGCCAAGCTGAAGCCAGGGGCCGGGAATGCCATCCAGATCTCCTACGTGAGGGACAGGAACTCAATTACTTGAGCCATCATTTGCTGCTTTCCCAGGTGCATTAGCAGGGAGCTGGATAGGAAGCAGAGTTGCCAGGAATTGAACAAGCATTCTCATACAGGATGCTGGTGTCGTATGTAGGGACTTAAGCCACTGTGCCACAACACCCATCCCAGTGTTACATAAGTTTGGCAAGTGACTGTTTGAAGAAGCGCCCATCACAGCTACCAGAGGGCTAGGAGTGAAGGCATTGGGAACTTAGCTCAGGGTCCTAGCAAGGCAGTGGGCTGTGATCTGTACCCACAGCTCACACAGCACAACTGTGACAATGCGGTCCAGCCTCTCCTTGTCCTTATTTGTGTCATTTGGTATGAAATTTCCCAAGACTGGCTGGCGCTGTGGCTCACTTGGTTAATCCTCTGTCTGTGGCGCCGGCGTCCCATATGGGGGCCAGGTTCTAGTCCTGGTTGCTCCAATTCCAGTTCAGCTCTCTGCTGTGGCCCGGGAGGACAGTGGAAGATAGCCCAAGTGCTTGGGCTCCTGCACTCGCATGGGAGACCAGGAAGAAGCACCTGGCTCCTGGCTTCGGATCGGCACAGCGCCAGCTGTAGCAGCCATTTGGGGCATGAACCAATGGAAGGAAGACCTTTCTCTCTGTCTGTCTCTCTCACTGTCTATAACTCTACCTGTCAAATAAAAAAAAAATTTCCTAAGACTGTTTTAGTGCTTCATTCTCCTTTGAAACTACTCCCTCAGAAACTGAGGGCTATAGCAGTGCAGGTAAGGACCATATTGTCCTGAAGAGGCTCTTAAAAGCAATTGATTTATAAGCAAGTGAAAGCATTTACAATGCTTAGGCGTGAAGATAGGCCAGATAGGGGAACAGGTATAAACTGGGAAGAGTTATTAAACTCCGACTCAGTGCCAGGTACTTCACATACATGATTTAATTCTCACATGGCCTAAAATGAGTTACTGTTATCACAGTTGAGGAAACTGAAACTCAAATAAGATAAGGACTTGGTTCCACCCCATCAGCCGGTAAACCCATGTTCTTTGCAGTCTGTAAGTAGAGACTGCAGTCATCAACTTGGCCTTCAGTGGAACTGGAGACCCCCAACACAAAACCGAGCTTGCCAAAGGTAGTCCTGCTAAGCCTTATGCAGGGGAGGAAATAAACAAGCAAAGCTACAGAAAGAATCTGACTCAATGGACGCCTCCGAGGGAAGAACGGCCATTGTGTGCTGTTGGTGTATCTGCTGGAGAGCAGTTCCTTTAACCTGATGATGCCAAATTTAAGCAAACACTGAGCAAATGCTTACGTATACACAGGCCTTGGTGAGTACTGCAGAGGACACAGGACCCACAGGTGATTATTATGATCTATACAGTACAACCCAACCCAGCCAGACTCCGAGTGTTCCATCCCCTGCTGAGCACACTTTCCTTTTTGCTTTCGGGTAGATCTGCACACACAGGACCAGTGAGGACAAGCCAAAGCCTGGCCTCTTTAGCCTTTCTGTAGCCTTGCAACACCTTGGTTTGAATTCTTATCTTTCTAAAAATAAATATTATTATAAATGTAATTCATCCTCATTACAAATAAACTAAAACAACATAGAAATTTAGAAAAGTAAAAAGGAAAGTATTATTTTCCTCTACCCCTCGATGTCACTTACACATACTATACGAAGGCACTAAAAAGTTCATTTGGGTGCAAAAAAATTTAAAATTCATGCATAGTTTTCTCATAATATGCATTTTCCATAAACTTTTTGAAGGATCTGTATATATGTGTGTATATGTATGTACACAAAGGGGCTTCGAAAACTTCATAGAAAAATTAATTCAAAAATAATGCAAGTTGGGGCCAGTGCTGTGGTGTAGTGGGCATCCTATATGGGTACCAATTCCCGGCTGCTCCACTTCTGATCCAGCTCCATGATGATAGCTTAGAAAAGCAGTAGAAGATGGCCCAAGTGCTTGGGCCCTGCACCCATGCAAGAGACCTAGAAGAAGCTCCTGGCTCCTGGCATTGGATGGGCCCAGCTCCAGCCATTGCAGCCATTTGGGGAGTGAACCAGCAGCTGGAAGACCTCTGTCTTTGTCTCTCCTTCTTTCTATAACTCTGCATCTCAAATAAATAAATAAATATTTTTTAAAATGTAAGTTTTCCATGTATTTTTTTAAAGACTTACTCATTTATCCATTTGAAAGGCAGAGTGACAGACCAGAGGGAGAGAGACAAATCTTCCAGCTGCTGGTTCACTCCCTGGATGACTACAATGGCCTGGCAGAAACTCCATCTGATCTCCCACAAGGGTGGCAGGGATCCAAATTTGGGCCATCTTCTAACACTTTCCTGGGCACATTAGCCAGGGGCTGGATCAAAAGTTGAGCAACTGGGGCTTGAACCAGCATTGCAATACAGGATGCTGTCATCATAAGCTGCAGCTTAACCCACTGCACCACAATGCCAGCCCCAAGTTTTCCATGATTTTGTGAATCAATCTCTCTCTCTCATACACACACACACACACACACACACACACACATAAATCTTACATAAACTGATCGTTATACATATTGGATTGCATTAGATTTAGATCCATTCTTCCAAAATCAGATTTCTCCCCCTTCACCACCCCTTTTTCAACTAAAGGAATACTTAACTTTTTTAAAAAAATATTTATTTATTTATTTGAAAGTCAGAGTTACACAGAGAGAAGAGAGGCAGAGAGATAGAGAGAAAGAGAGGTCTTCTATCCACTGGTTCACTCCCCAACTGGCTGCAATGGCTGGAACTGAGCCATTCTGAAGCTAGGAACCTGGAGCTTCCCTTAGGACTCCCCCATGGGTGCAGGGGCCCAAGGACTTGGGCCATCTTCTACTGCTTTCCCAGGCCATAGCAGGGAGCTGGGTCAGAAATGGAGCAGCTGGGTCTCCAACCATCGCCCATATGGGATGCAGGCACTGCAGGAGGTGACTTTACCAGCTACACCACAGCACTGGCTCCAAAATACTTAACTTTTAAAGGCAAATCTGAGACGTGTTATCCTTCTTCCTAAAAGAAAAAAAGAAGCAATGTCATACATAAAATTGTGTTGTCTTCATGGATACATGAACATTTACCTTAGTTTTGGACTTAACATCCTGCGTGTTAGCACCCATAAAGGTAACAGTCACAGCAGAAGATGAAATGCACCTACATTAGTATGATTTCTTGGCTGAACTAATCATTTACAGGAATGAAAGAGTAAGGGTGAAGATAAAAACATGTCCTATTGCCTTATACTGATGAGATGACCTATGGAAAGTGATTTGCAAAAGTCTGTAACGTTTTACGGTGCTGTTCTGAATGATGTATAAATGCTCTTAAAATGTCTTCAAATATTTTTGTTGTGTTTCATAGTATTTTGTTATATTAGACCTTAACAGTGCTAAAGTTCAAAAATATTTTAATCTCAAAAATGGGACATTCAAGTGAAAGTCATGTAAATTTGCTGAGCTCTTAAAATAGAGATGGTTTTGCAAGTACCAGATGATTGTTGAAATTTGGCTGTGAGTGCATTCAGAACTCCATTGAAAAGGTTTTTCTTCCTTTTTTCTTTAATCTGTTTTTTAAATTTTATTGTGGCTACACACAGGAAAATGCACAGATCTCAAGTGCACTGTTCAAAATGCTTTAACAAATGTATACATTCATGTCACCAGCATCCCAGTCCAGAGGTCGTCTTACGAGACGTTTCTATTCATGCAGGCGAATGTCCTCGTGACTGACTGGAATGGGGCCTATGGGGATGACCCATTTGCTCTGCAATACAGAGGGTGTGGACAGGAGGGAAAGTACATTCACTTCACACCTGCCTTCCTACTGAATGAGAAATTTACAGCAGGCTATGGCGCACGAGGTAAGCAATGCCTTTCAAAGGTGTTTTGACTTTGTAACTCTGTTTAAGCAGATTTTGTTACCCTCTGTATGCAAGTGACATATTCTATAAAATGTATTTTATACAGCACTTTACAAAACTTTATAAAAACTGTTCTCTCCCTGGTAACCATGACATGCTGAGTATCCCTGCACAGACATATGATTTCATCAGCACCTCTCAAATCCATGAGCAGGCACAAGCTTTCCCTAAGTCATTCAGCTTGCACTGTTCCCCTCCCTTCCTTTGTCCCCAGCTCCAAAAATTGCACAATGTGACAGCCTGAGTCAATTCAGCAAATATGCCTGGGTTCCCAGAGCTTACAATAATAATTAGAAAAAAAAAAAGGAAAAGAAATGTAGTTTGGGAGTGGACATCATATGAAAACTTCTGTGGAGGAGAAGTCAACTTTGGTCTCAACTTTAAAGGCAATGTAAGATTCAGAGGTTTAGAGATAAAGTCAAAAAGGAGTTGATGCTGAAGATGGGGGAGTTCCATGAACTAAGAGTTGGAAATAAGCATAAGCATGGAGAATAAGGGATAAGGTAAAAGAGAGAGCACTACCCAAGTGGGGGAAGAGCTTCTACAATGGCCTTTTTTGCTCCCTCCTCCTGACCCTTTGATTTTAATCATTCCAGTAGAAAGGAGAATTGTCTCCCAGGAAAAGACAGGTTTGCTTGGATAGCACAGACTAAAGGTGACAGAGGCCAATTTACTTACCTGGATATGTTTTTTTTTTCTTTCCCCAAACTCTGAATGTATTGACCTCTATGAAGTGAAATAAAAGGTGTTTGATTGGGAAAAGAGAGGATGTAGAACTCCTCACTAGCTCCAAATAGATGTGCGACTGGTTGGCCTCCACAGGACCAAGCATTTTCACAGGACTCTTCATGGCGGTAGGGGGTGGAGTAGCAGGACTTGGAAGAGGAAAGTGGGGCACTGAATTGGTCTTTGGAGTGGGAATGTACAGCAGAGTGTTGTCACATCATCTATTGCTTAGGCAAGGTCCTCGTTGAGTTTCTAGGAGCTCAACAGCCAAAGCTCTCTCTTCCACAGGCAGAGTGTTTGTCCATGAATGGGCCCATCTCCGTTGGGGAGTGTTTGATGAATATAACAATGACAAGCCTTTCTACATAAATGGGCAGAATCAAATTAAAGTAACAAGGTTAGTACTTTTTCTCATGTTTAAAATCCATTATTTGCTTAATTCCAAAATTGTTTATACTGGCAGCTAAAATTTAAATGATAAGGTAGAGACCTTTCTATTTTTGCTTTTTAAGTTCTGTTACAGTTTTTAAGTAAATATTTGTGTGGCAAACATCATAAAAGGTTACGCCTTAGCTATCTCATTTTTCCCACTTCTTCACAATGTTCCTATGTGAAATTATCACAATTTATTCAACCAATCCCCTCTTGTTGGACAAATGAGTAGTTCCCAAGTTTTTGTTATTGCCAGTAACACTAGAGGTTATAGCATTGTACATATGTCATTTCTCAAGTATACAGGCATATATGTGTGTGTGTGTGTATGTGTGTGTGTGTGCATATATATATATATATATATATAAAAAAAACTCCAGGAATTACTGGGTCAAAGGGTACCCTCAGCTGTAATTTTGGGAACTAGTTTCTGATTCCTCTCCTAAAAGTTGCGCCATTTTTCACTTCCATTGACAGCATTTGTAATTGCTTATTGAGGAAGGAAACCTTTAAATGTCATTCTCTGCTTTCTCTGGTGTGCGGTGGAACTGAATTCAGAGGAGCTCTGACCCAGGATTCTGTCATCCGTGTCCTTTCTGGTTCGTCTGAATTTCCCATGTAGCTGTTAAAGCCCTTGGCAATTAGGACCACCCCGTCCACACCTCCCATCAAGACTCAGGGCTTTAAAATAAAGTGGAGTGCATTTCCAAATTAATGAGTCTTCTTAATAGAGCAATGCTTGTAATGTTTTATTTGTATCTAGCAACCTACAGTCCTTGACCCAAACTACTATGTAAGCCAGTCAAGAACATAGATCTTTCTAAAACAAACCCAATTCTAAGTATCTCTTTCTATTTTTAGGTGTTCATCTGACATCACAGGCATCTTTGTATGTGAAAAAGGCCATTGCCCCCAAGAAAACTGTATCATTAGTAAGCTTTTCAAAGAAGGATGTGTGTTTATCTACAACAGCACCCAAAATGCCACTGCATCAATAATGTTCATGCAAAGTTTATCTTCCGTAAGTATGGCCTTGGAATGACAAAATCGTATAAAATTGCACCCTTTCTTAAAATATATTGATACATTTTATGTGCTTAAATGTTATAAAATAATCTAGGTTCACTACATTTTACTTTCTTTATGTAAATATTTCTTTGTTTGTTTGCTTGAAAGTCACAGAGGAAGAGAGGGAAAGGGAGACATTTTCCATCTGCTGATTCACTTCCCCAATGACCGCAACAGCCAAGTCTGGTGCAGACTGAAGCCAGAAGCCAAGAACTGTATTCTAGTCTCCCAAATGAATGGCAGGGCCCAAAGTACTTGGGCCATCTCTTTCTACCTTCCCAGGTGCTTAAGCGGAAAACTGGATCTAAAGTAGAGCAGCTGGGATTCCAACCAAAACTCAGACACGGGAAGCCAGCATCTCAAGCAGAGGCTTATCCTGCTGTACCACCAAGCTGGCCCAAGATGCACTGCATTTTAGAGCTTAGGATACTTTAGAGTTCATCTAATTTTTATTCTGCAAGTGAAAAAACTAAATTTCCCAAGACAATTACCAAAAATAAAGTCCTTTAGAAAACTGATCACCTGCTTTCTAGGATAGGTGATTTAGCCAGGCAACTCTGGAGACCACAAAATGAATTGCTTTTATGGTGGTGTTCCTGCATCATTTCTTAGAGAGGGAACAGGTGGCCCCTTGAAATGATGCATTTTTTTTCCTTGAAGATATTCAGTCTGATTTTATTCAAGACTAGGAACTGTTTTGTAATTTTAAGGTGATGTTTCCTGTTTATTTTTTATTTCTTTTTATTAAAGCAGTTAAGTTCTTGCCACCCTCATATGGAGACCTGGACTGAGTTTCCAGCTGCTGGTTTCAGCACAGCTTTTAATGGTCTTGGGCATTTGAGAATATACCACTGGTATATTCTGGTATATATAAGTTCTCTCTGCCTCACAAATAGCTTTACTTTTTAAAGTGTGTTGGATTAATGAAAGTGATACATTTTGCACTTTCTCTTACTTGAGGTAGTAAACCACTCTGTATTTTATTTGCAATTCCTGTTTCTCTTTCTTTTATTTGCAAACAGGTTCTGCCCTGTTTCCTTGCCTTCCTAAGAAACTCACACCCTATTGCAGTTAATCTCTTTTCAAAGCCTCAGCTGCTTCTATGAAATCAGAGAAGAGATTAGAGAGTCTATAATGCTTCTTCTATCTGAGCAACCATCCTGTAGGCAGCCAGTATGGACTTTAGAAATGGAGGCCTGGAAATAGATAGGGATCCATTCCTTTGCAGTACAAACTACACCTTTACTGGGGTACTGACACAGGTTCATCAGTAGCATTGAACAAATTATCTCTATATTTCTAAATTATGGGAATGGAGGTGTCAGGAAGTAGACTTAAGTTATTTTCCTTCTTAATCTTATTCTTAGAGATAAATATTTGAGCTAAACCAATATATGCTGACTGATCCATAAATAAAGGTGCAGTAGTCATTAAATGTGATTCAATGGAATTGTCCAACAAAGATAACATCTTCTGGACTGTTTTCTTAACACAACATCATTTTAAGACTGATATACACACACACAGTCTGCTCTCTGTTTGCCAAGTACAAGTAAAGGAAAGGATGCCAAACTTTGTTCGCAAACCAGCCGTCACTCTTCAAGGGAAGAAGTACACTGCTGTAGCCTTTCTAGATTTCCTCTCTTTCGGCTCACCTGGTCTTTCAGTCCAAGTTGCATGAGAATGAAAAGCTTCTCCAGTGCTGGAGGAGAGTTGCTCCTCTCTGATAGCCCCTGCTCTCTTTCCAGGTGGTTGAATTCTGTAACGCAAGTACCCACAACCAAGAAGCTCCTAACCGCCAGAACCAGATATGCAGCCTCACAAGTGCATGGGACATAATCACAGCCTCGGATGACTTTAACTGCAGCGCTCCCTTGGGTGGGATTGAGCTCCCACCTCCTCCCACGTTCTCCCTTGTGCAGGCTGGTGACAAGGTGGTCTGTCTCGTGCTGGATGTGTCCAGCAAGATGGCCGAGGTAACATTTTTTTTTTAAAGATTTATTTATTTATTTATTTGAAAGGCAGGCAAAATGTTTGAAATGATCACAACTTATTTTCTTGGAGATAGGGCAGACAAATTCAGAATGTGGCCCAGAAATTAGGATCATGCAGATGAAGGAAATCCACAGATAATTCTTCACCTCCATTTTGGCCACTAATAGCAGCTTTTCCCCTACCAAGACTCTTCTTCAAGATCCTGACACATAAGGAAAACTCTGGCCACAGCCTTTCGCCGATAAGCATCTGTGGTTGAAACAGCAGATGGAAATTGCGGTGAGCTGGCCTGACACTGTGTGTACGTTTCCTATGTCCCTCCACGACTCAGTGGTCCGGTGATTTAGCCAACTCCTGGGAACCTGCTCTAGCAACCTCCAGCTCAAGGCTGAGTCTCTGGAGTCAGGCAGATGTGCTGAAGTTCTGGTTACGTCACTTACTGGCTGTAACCAGGAGCTCAGTTTTCTCATCTGTAAAGTAGAACTAGGATACCTACTTTCACATGGAGATTTGCAAACCCTTTAATGAATGCAGCCATTTTTAACCTTAAACTATATGATCTTGTCATTCAAAATATTAAAAACAAATTGACTAAGTGCTCAAAACTCGTTACTTCTTAAATTTTATTCTAGTTTTTACTATGACTTAAGCCCAGCATTGGCTAAGAGTGGTTTTACATTTTAAATAGTAAGAAAAAAATCAGGAAAATAATATTTCATAACATATGAAAAATATATGAAATTCAACTTCCAGTGTCCATAAAAAAGTAACTCATTTGTTACCACATACTGCCTATGGCCACGCTGGTGCTACAATGGCAGAGTTGAGTAGTTGCAACAGAGAACTTCAGGCATACAAAGCCTAAAATCTTTACTATCTGGCCCCTTTGCAAAAAAAATTTGCTTATTTCTAACCTATAATCTAAAGGTTATTTCTGGCTTATTGTATCTCTGTGGGTTGGCTACTGCACACCTCTTCCCAGCTCTGTGTTCCATGCCATCACATTGTCAGCTTGAAGTCAGCCATGGTGGGACTATTTACTGCACAGAAAATGGCCATTGCTCTAAATCAGGGCTTGCCCTTGCTTGCCCTCACCCATCGCTCCCTCCTTCCTCCCTGCTTCTCTCCTTCCACCCTCCTTCCTTCTTTTGTTCCTTTCTTCATTCCTTCCTTCCTTTCCTCTCCTCTTCCCTCTCTCCCCCACTTCTGTTTTTCTTTTCAAAAAGCTAATTATTAAACATTTATTAGCATACAACTGTCTACATCACAGGAGTATTGAGGGAGAATAAATGTGATAGTAAATATGAGATTTTTGGTTCATAATTAATTATAAATGACAGATTTTATTTTTATTATAGTACATGTCCAAGAAGAGAATTTATGCTATTGTATTCTCTGCCTCATTAGTCCTAGAATTCTTGCATCTGGAGAGGGATATGACAGGGGGCTTATCTGAATTATTAAGAATATAGGAATATTAGGCTGGCGCCGCGGCTCAATAGGCTAATCCTCCGCCTTGAAGTGCTGGCACAGGCACACCGGGTTCTAGTCCTGGTTGGGGCGCCGGATTCTGTCCCAGTTGCCCCTCTTCCAGGCCAGCTCTCTGCTGTGGCCCGGAAGTACAGTGAAGGATGGCCCAAGTGCTTGGGCCCTGCACCCCATGGGAGACCAGGAGAAGCACCTGGCTCCTGCCTTTGGATCAGTATGGTGCGCCAGCCGCAGCACACCAGCCGTGGCGGCCATTGGAGGGTGAACCAATGGCAAAGGAAGACCTTTCTCTCTGTCTCTCTCTCTCACTGTCCACTCTGCCTGTCAAAAAACTTAAAAAAAAAAAAGAATATAGGAATATTAGGAATTCTGCTAATGCAATTTGTTATGCTGTCTACCTATAGATGGCTAGGACATGCTTTTCTCAAATACAGTCTCAGGGTAACAATACTGGTTACCTGACTATGTTGAGTGAGGATTGATGAAATGAAAGGAAGATAACTACTTAAGACATGAAATAAGCTCTATTGTACTTATTCACATTATGTATCACATCTCCATCATTGGATTCACAAACACCCTGTTCTCCCCATCTCTGTATCCCACAGGCCAGCACAGTGTGAACACCTGATAAATAAAGGAATGGATATAATGGTTCAGTGATGGTACAGGCAATAAAAGGGAGGAAAGGTGACTTTGTTACCTGGGGCTTATTTCTCTTCTGCTTATTTCATGTCTTAAGTGACATGAAATTCTGCCCCTTGGCCACTGTGAAGTCTACTATTGTACTTATTCACATTATGTATCACATCTCCATCACTGGATTCACAATAGAGTATGGCAAGATCTCACAGACATACGAGCTGCCGTGGAAGCCTTGTCAAGACAATGTCTAGTGCTGTAGAAGAATGTGGGCAAGGTAGACTTCACTGAAAGGGTGAACTTGGAGTTGAAGGATAGCAGGTGCTTGCTAGATTGGGTGAGATGAGGCAGAGTATGAGCAAGGACATTGCAGGGAAAGAAGGTGTGTGCAGTGGCCAAGGGGCAGAATGAGACGGACTTGTTCAGGGGAATGGGACTGACTGGCATGGCTGTCACCAACATTGGGTAGATCTGAGATGGAAATATGGTATGGAATTGAAAGAAATGTAACACATTTAATTAACAGGATCTGTTTAAGGACATGGAAGCTGGTAACACAGGAGTAGTAGATTTCTAGCACATCCATTTGGGAGGAGAGGTCATCATTGCGAATGGTGATTTGATGACCATGATCATGATAATAGCTTTTACCATGATAATAGCTTTTACATTCTCTATGCTCACTTTGTATCCATTTTGTAAATGAGAAAACAGGCTATAAAAAGACAAGTAATTTTTTCATGGCTACAAAATCAGCAAAGGTTAAGGCAGGATTCAGTCCTTGTTTATCCACTCTACCAACTTATCTCCCAGTACTATAAGAGAAACAATATTTAAGAAGGGGGTGGGGGGAAGGGATTTCGAGTGTGTAGAGTTTGAGATAAACTGTGGGACATGAGATTGGTGGGTGTGACATGCAGGTCCAGGCAGTAAGGGAGGTGTCTGGGATGGAGACAGAGGTCACAATCATCCCTGAACCCGTGGTCCTTGAAACTCAGTTTGCTGCCCCTTTCTCTTTTCCCACAGTCTTCTAAACAAGTGATCTTAGTGAATTCATCTGTAACATCACCTGCCCAAACCTGAACACTAATATTGCTTTATGTTTGGTTAGTACCTCGTGGTATAACTTTATTGTCATATACTCCTACATCATTCAGTTTATCTTCACAGAAACTCTATTTTATTTTATTTTATTTTTAGACAGGCAGAGTGGACAGTGAGAGAGAGACAGAGAGAAAGGTCTTCCTTTGCCATTGGTTCACCCTCCAATGACCGCCGCGGCCGGTGCGCTGCAGCCAGCGTACTGTGCCTATCCGCAGGCAGGAGCCAGGTGCTTTCTCCTGGTCTCCCATGGGGTGCAGGGCCCAAGCACTTGGGCCATCCTCCACTGCACTCCCGGGCCACAGCAGAGAGCTGGCCTGGAAGAGGGGCAACCGGGACAGAATCCGGCGCCCTGACCGGGACTAGAACCCGATGTGCCGGCGCCGCAAGGTGGAGGATTAGCCTACTGAGCTGCAGTGCCAGCCTAGAAACTCTATTTTAATAAGAGGGGCTGGTGTTGTATCAAAGCAAGTAAAGCCACCACCTGCAACATCGGGATCCCATATGGTCAGTTCATGTCCCAGCTTCTCTACTTCTGTTCCAGCTCCCTGCTAATGGCCTAGGAAAAGCAGAGGAAGACAGATGGCTCCTGCCACCCACATGGGAGACCTGCAAGAAGTTCCTGGCTTCTGCCTTTGGCCTGATCCAGCCCCAGCCATTGTAGCCGGTAGGGGAGTGAACCAGAGGATGGACAATCTCTCTCTTTGTATCCCCCTACTCTGTAACTCTGACTTTCAAATATATAAATCTTTTTTAAAAAGTAAGAAAGACACTACTGTATACGCTTTACAGATGAAGTTGCCAACCTAAGATGACTACAATCATAGTGGGTAACTCAGGATGGACACTAGATTCTCTACTACTCCTCTTTACCATTGTCGCTCCCCCTCTTCATGGAGGAACGACACTAAACCCTGCCTAGGCTTCTTATCCGAGTCACAGCACCATTATGTCGCTCCCCCTCTTCGCAGAGGAATGACACAGGACCCTGCACTGTTCTTTCGTCTGCTTGGCCCTCCCCGGGTTTGCTGCTGGTTCTTCCCGGGTTGGCTACCGACCCTTCCACCTCCATGGAAGGGCGGTTCCCCCTGCCACTTTCCCCACTTCCGCGGGGGAGCGGACACCGCCGGCCAGCTCTCTCGGGGGCTGCTCAGGTGTTCCTTCAGATAGATGTTCCTGGTGCATGTTGTCTCTCTCCTCCTTTATAGTCCTCTTCCACCAATCCCAACTCTGCTACACACACGCTGAGTACGCTGCTCTCCTGCAATCAGGAGCAGGATCAGCTCCTGCAGGTCATCACTCAAGCTGGCGAGAGGCAGCTGCGTAGAAGTTGTTACTCCCTTCTCAGCACCATATTGTGGGAGAGCAGATGCATAGAATAAGTCTTAATTCCAGTAACAGTCTAGTCCGAGTTGCTCCCCACAACCATAAATTCTGCTTGCAATGTTTTCACCTACCTAGTATGAATTTTAAATGTATTTATTCATGTCGTGTTCTTTATTTGAAAGAGAGAGAGAATCTTCCATTCTTTGTTTCACTCCCCAAATGCCTGCAATGGCAGAGGCTGGGGGTGGGGCTGGGCCAGGCTGAAGCCAGGAGCCAGAAACTCAATCTGGGTCGCAAATGGGTGGTAAGGACACAAATACTTGAGCCATCACTAGGCACACATAGGAGGGAGCTGGATTCCAAAGGGAGCCAGGACTTGAACTTGAACCCAAGCACTCTGATATGGGATGCAGATGTACCAAGCGGCAGCTTTATCACTGTGTCAAACATGTATTCCACCCAGTCTGAATTTTAAAAGAAGCAGTTGCAAACCTAGTCTCAATTGGTTACATAGGTCTGAGTTGGAGTGAAAACAATAGGGATATGTGTTGGTAATTATGAGCATCTTGTTGGGGCAGAGTTCCAACCACTATCCCTTCCCCAAAAGGCACACATTTTTGAACCTATAATTCAGCAAACAATATTCTAACACTATGCCACCTTTACAACTAAAAAATTATGATCCAACGGCTCATAAAGAATTAGCAGAGATATTTGGTAATTTAATTATCTTGGTTATACTTTTAGCTACCAATCAAATGTTCATGCTTGCTTTTTCCTTTTTGGGACGTAGGCTGACAGACTCCTTCGACTGCAACAAGCAGCAGAATTTTTTTTGATGCAGATTGTGGAAATTCACACTTTTGTGGGCATTGCCAGTTTCAGTAGCAAAGGAGAGATCAGAGCCCCGCTACAGCAAATTAACAGCCGAGATGACCGAAAGCAGCTGGTTTCACACCTGCCTACCACTGTGTCCACTGAAGCAGAAATCAGCGTCTGCTCCGGACTAAAGAAGGGGTTTCAGGTAGCGTAGAGCCTCCTAAGCCTCAATCACCGCGACTTTCCTTTCCTGCCTTTTGTGCCTGAGCTTCCTTCTGATTAGGGTCAATTTGTCATGCAGTGCTCATAGCAACCTCAACTATTAGAGAGTAATGATGGATTACCTTTAAAGTTAGGAACCATTGATGACATTGTATTCCATGTGCCTGAAAAAGTTGGCATGTAATAGTTGCTTCATAAATGCTTGTTTAAAGAATGAGTATATAAATGAATACAATGGTTAAGGCGGAGAGACTCACATATCATTTGGGTACTCTCTCAACTGTCCCCATTCATTCTGGGACTACCCCAGCTGTAACCATTGTTACCCTCTGGTTTTCTGGTCAAAACCAGCCTGTCTCCTGATTAGTGTCAACCTAGACCTCAAATCATGTGAGAATCAGTTAAGGCCAAAGGTATGTTTGGGGCTTATCAGAGTTCATCTAAATCAGCACAAGTCTGGATGCTGCATATGGGGTGCAGCCGTTCAGTGAGCACCTGATTGTAAGCAAGACATATCAACTGTGGTTGCTGCAAGTGTTTCTCAACCTCGGCTGCCCATGAAATCACCTGAGAATTTAAAAATTACTGGTGACTCGGTCTCAACTCCAGAGATCATAATTTAATTAATCTAGGTTGTGACCTGATGACTAAAATTGTTCAAAGCACCCCAGCTGATCCAAATGTTGAGGAGCACTGCTCTGGGCCCTCTTCCTGACCACTCGCTGGATCTGGGAGGCAAGACTCCCACACAGTCATGTACCCAGGGCCTCTATGACAGAGACCAGTCTAAACTATGGACACATCATGGTGCATAATGTGTAGTGGCTACAGAGAACTTCAAACAGGCCTATGGCTTGCTGGTTGGTAGCTTGGCATGAAAGCAAATTCTTCAGTTCAATTACACAATTTGAACTACATTTCCTTCCAAATTAGGTGGTGGAAAAGCTGAATGGCAAAGCTTACGGCGCTGTGATCATATTAGTGACCAGCGGGGCTGATGAGCACGTTGGCAGCTGCTTGCACAGTGTGCTCACCAGCGGCTCAACCGTCCATTCCATCGCCCTGGGATCATCGGCAGCCAGAACCCTGGAGGAATTATCACGTCGTACAGGTCGTACAGTCTGTAGAACTAAATTCATTTTTAATTTGAGGGGCAGAGAGAACTCCCACCTGAAGCTGGGAGCCAGGCCCAATCTAAGTTTCTCATCTGGGTGGCAGAAACCCAGTTACTTGAGCCATCATCTCCTGCTGCCTGTCATGATCTGCATCGGCAGGAAGCTGCAGTGGGGGGCCAGGTAGCAAACCCAGACCTGACCCAGCAACTTTGTCTTTTAGAGTACTTCCTTCTAACTTAAATATTTAAAGGACAACAAAATTCAGATTATATGGCTTAATTGAAAGACTAGAAATGATTTTCTTAAAAGCACAGAAATCATTGCTAAAATCTGTCATCTGGAGGGTTTTTTTGGTGCTTTTAAAATTTTATTTTTTCAACTTTTATTTAATAAATATAAATTTCCAAAGTACAGTTTATGGATTACAATGGCTTCCCCGCCCCCACCATAACTTAACTCCCACCCGCAACCCTCCCATCTCCCGCTCCCTCTCCCATCCCATTCACATCAAGATTCATTTTCAATTATCCTTATATACAGAAGATCAATTTAGTATATATTAAGTAAAAATTTCAACAGTTTGCACCCAAAGAGAAACACAAATTGTAAAGTACTGTTTGAGTACTAGTTATAGCATTAATTCACATTGGACAACACATTAAGGACAGAGATCCTACATGGGGAGTAAGTGCACAGTGACTCCTGTTGTTGACTTAACAATTGACGCTCTTATTTATGGCGTCAGTAATCACCCTAGGCTCTAGTCATGAGTTGCCAAGGCTTTGGAAGCCTTTTGAGTTCACCAACTCCGATCTTATTTAGACAAGGTCATAGTCAAAGTGGAAGTTCTCTCCTCCCTTCAGAGAAAGGTACCTCCTTCTTTGATGGCCCGTTCTTTCTACTGGGATCTCACTCGCAGAGATCTTTCATTTAAGTCTTTTTTTTTTTTTTTTTTTTTTTTTTTGCCAGAGTGTCTTGGCTTTCCATGTCTAAAATCCAGATCCGAATGCCTTAAGGGCTGATTCTGAGGCCAGAGTGCTGTTTAGGACATCTGCCATAAGGTCCCAATTACATACAACAAACAATATATAAAATAATGTTTTTATAAACTCCTTATTAAGCAAAGCTGAACATATATAATTATGGAGCTAAAAACAATGTTTTAAGATTAACTGTACTAATGTCTATGATAAAAATACACACAAAGGAGCCAGTGTTGTGGTGTAGTGGGTTAAGCCACTGCCTGTGATACTGGCATCCCAAAGGGGTGCTAGTTCAAGTCTCAAGTCTCAGCTGTTCACTTCAGATCCAACTCTCTGCTAATGCACCTGGGAAAGCAGCAGAAGATGGCCCAAGTGCTTGGGCCCCTGCACCCACGTGGGAGACTCTGATGAAGTTCCTGGCTCCTAGCTCCTGCTTCAGCCTGGCCCAGTCCCAGCCTTTGTGACCACTTGGGGAGTGAACCAGCAGATGAAAGGTCTCTCTCTGTATCTTTCTTTCTCTCTCTGAACTCTGCCTTTCAAATAAACAAATATATCTTAAAAGAAGGAAGGGGGGGAGGGAGGGAGGAAGGAAGGAAGGTTGGTTGTTGGAAAAGATCTGAGATTTTGATTTTTTTTAATTTTAATCATGTATTTCAGGAGGTTTAAAGTTCTTCGTTCCGGATCAATCAAACTCCAATAGCTTGATCGATGCTTTCAGTAGAATTTCCTCTGGAACTGGAGACATTTTCCAGCAAAGTATCCAGGTCAGAATTTCCTGGATGTTATAGTTTCAGATGGCAGGGGTGAGGAGGGGAGAAGGAAGCAGGGGAAATAGATGAACTGTGCTAACTGCTTGGCTTACCGTGCTTGAATGTGCAACAGTATTTGAGTATGTGACAATGTGGGTGCAGAAGGCTTTTAATGAGCTTCCTGAAGTGACCAGAGCCAGGCTTCATTTTCGCCTGATGTCATACTCCTCAGTTCTAGGAGCAGTCCTCTGTGATGGCCACCTCAGCTTTTCAAGGTTTGTAAGCAGAGCCGGATCCTTCCTTGCAGCTCAAAATGCAGGTGGACTGGAGTTCAGGCCCAGAAAAGAAATGAAAAACCAGGCATTTAGTCTTTTTAGTTTCATTACAGCTTTCTACCAATCAGAATCAATTTTACTTTTGCATCTTTAACATCTTTGAAACTCCTGCCTTGTCTCAGGAGTAACAGTTTCATTAACCCCTAAAAATTTTCAGCTGTCTCTTCCACTACAACAACTTCCTCTAATTGAGCCATTTTTTAATGGACCAAGTTTTTTTTTCTTAGTACTTTAGAGATATTTTGGACATAACTGAGCAATGTTTGGAATCAAATTTGATCTATGGTTTCCTCACAGATGGTAAATGAATATGTGAAGATAAAGGCTTGCTGCGAATGATGAGCTCTGTAAATTATTGTCAGGAAGTATTGAACGTGAAGATTATATGTACACAGTAAATGCAATTAACACTATCCCACCATTAGAAGTAAACTATGTGAATTCGAATGAATGTGGTATAGATTAGCCTATTCTCTGATCTTCTGATAATTCTCAGTAATCTTTATAACCTGTGATTTCTTCCTTAACAATATGAAATAAGTATTTGAAAAGTTAATGAAGAATTTAACATGAAATATCATTTATATGGGTTCAAATGAGCCTTAATACTCCTAAACTTGGCTGCCTCTTCCCTGTTTGCATGTCAGTAGCTCCAGTAGACTGAGGACAGGAGCTGTGGCTACATCCCCTCCACCAGCCCAGGGCCCAGCGGAGTATGGCTGAGCAGCCCACAAACATGTTAATTTGATTTCAACAAATAACCCATCATGTCTTTGCTGTCATCCACCAATATAATTTTATGTGTTTTCCATGTTTGAGCAATTTTACAAGTTTTATACATTTTCAAACTAATTTACAGATTTGTATCCATGGCTAATAAATTGTAACTAAATGTAGGGGCTCTGGTGACAGCCTGCCTGGGTTTCATACCAGTTCCATTCTTCATTAATTTAACATTGGACAAATTATTTCTCTAAGCCTCTGTCTTCTCATCTGTGACCTTGACAGTACTTATCTAGAGGGTTTCTATAAGGACCAAATAAGATAACACACGTGAAACATTTAGCACAGTGGTAGGCAGATGTATGTACTCTATACATATGCTACACATGTGCACACACATGTACACACACATGCATGTGTATAGCTTACTGTGAATAGCTGAATAATTTTTTAATGTACCAAAACACAAATTTTCATTTCTTATTAAAATAAGAATCTGGACAGGTTGTATACATTTTAAAACAAGCAAAAATAAAAAAATCAAAGAAAACTTGTTATAATTGCTGATCTGAGGCCAATGTTGGTTTGGATGAAAAACAATATAAGAACAAGTAAAATCTCTTGATAAAGAATAATAAAATGACACTTGTTTTAACTGTAACAAAGTATTTTATAGCAGGTATACTTATATAGTATGTAATGTTCTACTTTGGGAAAGTATTTTCATATGAAAAAATAGTTATGTAAACATAGTGTGTTTCAGAATTAATGATTTTTATTTTTACCAGTTCATTTTTATTTATCATAAAAGTAAAGAAAAAGAGAAATGATTACATATGCATTGGAAGCTTTCATATGCATATTCTCTTTAACAGCTTGAAAGTACAAGTGAAAATGTTAAACCTCACCATCAACTCAAAAACACTGTGCTTGTGGATAACAGTGTGGGCAATGGCACTGTCTTTCTAGTCGCATGGCAGACCAGTGGTCCCCCTGAGATTGTACTATTTGATCCTAACGGAAGAAAATACCACACAAACAATTTTATCACCAACCCTGCTTTCCAGGCAGCTAGTCTTTGGATTCCAGGAACTGCTAAGGTAGGTGTTGTGAGCTTGTTGTGATGACGTTTAGCCAAGTGTATGACTTGCAACTGAATCAAATGCGTTGACTATGGGAAATTTTGTTCTGATACTCTATATCAAAATAACTTTAAATTCATGAAGGCAATTTGTAAATATTTAAAACAAGAGAAACAACTAAGGTATGTTCAACACTTTAAACATTGGATAAATACTTCTCACTTCAGTAAAGGAAGTTGATATTTTCACTAGTATTACAAATAATTATTTTCTAGCCTGCAACTTTATTTATGTAATCTATATACACATAGTCGCCTATGTGCTAGGGGAAAAATTTCTACCTAGAATTTATAATAGGAATATATGCAATGCATTTGTTTTGGAGCACCTGCTGTGTGCTGGGTCTTGTTCTAGGAGCAGATAAAAGGGCTGGTAGGTGTGATGGATTCTGGGTAGAGAAAATAGCACATAGAAAGGTTCAGAGGAAAAGAACCTGGCTATTCATACAACTGTGAGTGGTTCAATACAGTTGAGCTACAGAGTAGCATAATAAGATAGCGGGACTGGAGGAGGAAGTGGAGTGGAGTGATAAGGCTAGAGAGATAAAAAAGAAACCACATCTGCAAAGGCTTTGCATGGCTGTAAACGGGGGGGGGAGGGTAGGGACTTGAATCCTAAAGGCAAAAGGAGCCACTGAAGGGTCTAACAAGAGCTGTGGATTGACCAGATCTGTTTCTGTACCCCTGAACCCCCCTGCTCCCCGCCTCATCAAACACTGACCCTTCCCCATCCCTGTTGGCAGACTCTTACCTGGTCGCCTTGATTCCCAGCGGGCATCCTTCCCCCCGCCACCCACTCTTCCTCTCTATCCAAGCAATTCTTCTGAAGAAGAACCCTGACCCATCTGCCTCCTGGTCAGAACTCACTGGTGCCTTCAGAATAAAATCCAAGTGGTTATTGGGACACACAAAGTTCTCCTGTCCTGGTTTCTGCCGGAGATTCTCTTACTGTTCTCCTAAACACTCTGTTTCCTACCACTACTGAACTTTTCTCCAAATTCACCACGTTCTTTTCACAAAGGTTGGGAACACTTTAGCTATTCCTTGTTCCCTTTGTCTGGCTCCTTAGTCTGGATTAGGTGCCCTATAGCAAAATAATGATTACACTCAGAGAGAACTTTTTGATGTGGAGGTTCCTGCCATTGGTCTGGCACTAATGCTGATTCCAAAAAGAGGACAGAAGGAAAGATGGACAGTTAGACTGGTAATAAATGATAGATGAGTAGATAGGTAGAAACAGATGATGGATGAATGGATAGATCTTGATAGGATATCTTGATGGATAGCTTGAATCATGACTTTACTGGAAAATGGCTGCTTGAATCCCTATGAGGAAGGTAGGGTAGGGGATGGTGGTGCCTTCACTTCCCATCCTAGGTCTCATCTTAATGTTTCTTTGTTTTTCTTCATATTGTGTTAGCTCCTCCTAGTGCTTCCCAGATTTAACAAGCTACCTGCAGGTGTCAGGGAAAAAGCAACACATGTATAGATAGCTTAATCAAAAGGACACATTTCTACTATATTATACTTTTAGCCTTTTCTTTTCAGACTTTCTTTGGCAGGGTTCTTCTAGACAGTCCAGATAGGCAAGAAAGTGAACTTTAGCAGCATTTCTATAAGTTACTCAGCATAGATATTTTACAGCTGTCATCTATCAAAACAGTAGGTCCTTTTCATGATCTCCAATAGTAAGCGTATGTTGTTTACATTGCTTGAGACTTCTGAGAGTGTGAGTTTGGCAGAAGTGGAAGGAAAGAAGGATATTGTTGCCTTCTAGTCCAGTGTGTCCCCATAAATCATAAAGTAATAACTTTATCTGACTTTCTCAGTTGTGAAGAAGAATGAAAAAATGTGGCTGCTTTTTAGGTGAAGGGTTTAGATTACTATTTGCAAAGTGCAGCGAAGTGGACACTTATTATTACATTTTAAAAGTGAATTAAAGGAGGAGGTTTTACCCAGTGATCGAGACTCCTGCTTTCTACAACATTCAACATAGTACCGGGGTTGATACCTGACTCTGACTCCTGACTCCAGCTTCCTGCTAATGGAGACCCTGGGAAGTAGTGGTGATGACTCAAGCAGTCGCATCCCTGCCACCCATGTGGGAGACCCAGATTGTGTTTCCAACTCCTGACTTTCGTTCTGGTTCAGGCCCAGCTCTGCGGGCATTTGAAGAGTAAACCAGTGGATGGGAGCACACATATTCTCTCTCAATCTCTGTTTCTCTCTCTCCCTCCCTCTTCCTCTCCCTTCCCCTATTCTCTCTGCCTCTCACTGAAGTAGATAGAAGAAATTTTAAAAACTTAAAGGAAAAAAAAAGAAAGGAAGGAGTGAGGGGGGATTAGGGAAAAAAGGAAATTTGGATATCTTCTTAAACTGTATCTATGAAATACAGGAAATTTGTTCTCTTTATATTAATAAAAATGTTTAAGATACACACTTAAACATATGTAAAAGTAAGGAAAGAAAAAAATGTAAAAAAATGAAGAAAGGAATAAAAGATCAAAAAATATATAAGCAAGAAAGAAAGGAAGAAAGAAAGAAGAACAATTGTAAAAGTATACAGAGTGGCAAAGAGAGAAGGAGAGACAGAGAGATCTTCCACCTGCTGGCTCACTCCCAAATGCCTGTATTAGTCAGGGAGAGGCCATCTGAAGCCAGGAGCCATGAACTCGATCTAATCTACCATGTGGGTGGCAGGAACTCTGGTACTTGGGCTACCATCTATCACCTTTCAGGTGCATTAGTGAGAAGCTGGATGAGAAAGTGGAGTTGAGACTCAATCCTGGGCACTCCTATGTTGGGATGCCAGTCCCCCAAGTGGCAACTTAACCCACTGTGCCACAAGGCCCATACAGAAAAAAATTATTTTTTAAAATATTTACTTAATTGGGAGGCAAAGAGACAGAAAAGTAGAGAAGAGACAGATAAATAGAGCGCTACCATCTACTGGTTCACTCCCCAAATGCCCACAAAAGCCAGGCATGGGCCAGGCCAAAGCCAGGAGCCTGGAACTTAATCCAGGCCTACCACATGGGTGTCAGTGACTCAAATTTGATCTGTCACCTGCTGCCTCCTAGAGTGTGCATTAGTAGGAAGTTGGAATGGGGAACAGATCAAGGACTTGAACCCTGGCACTCAGTTATGGGATGCGGGCATCCCAACCAGTGATTTAACTGCTAGGCAAAACACTTGTCCCTATTTTAAAAAATTCTAAAGGATGTTCTTTGGGCAGAGGTAAAATTGTCCTAGAGAAAGGGTAACAATTGCAGGAAAGAAGAAAAATCAATGAAAATGATAAATCATGGATTAATATTCTGGGTAATAAAGACTATATAAAACAAACAAACAAAAAAAGAAATAACGTTTCCTAAAGACAAAATAGAATAAATATCTTTTACAAAATAAGAAATTGTACAAGCACTGTGACACAATGGATCAAGTCACTGCTTACAATGCATACATCCCATATCAGAGTACCAATTGGAGTCCCAGCTAATCAACTTCAGGGCCAGCTTCCAGCTAATGGATCCTGAGAGGCAGTAGATGATGACTCAAGTGCTTGGGCCCTTACCCCACACATGGGACATCCAGATGGAGTTCCTGGCTCCTGGCTTTGGCCTGGCCCAGCCTTGGCTCTTGTAGCTGTTTAGGGGTGAATCAGCAGATGGAATATCTGTGCCTCTCTCTCTCTGTCACTCTTTCAAGTAGATACAAATATTTTTATATTTATTCAAATACAAAATATATATTTATTTATTCATTTATTTATATACAATAAAAGCTAATAAAATTCAGGATTGATATTTTTCTCCACATTTTATAAAACAAAAAGCCTTTGTTTTGCAGCCTGGGCTCTGGACTTACATACTGAACAATACCCACCATTCTCCTCAAGCCCTAAAAATGACAGTGGCCTCTCGTGCCTCCAGCTCAGCCATGCCCCCAGTCACTGTGGAAGCCTTTGTAGACAGAGATACCACGAGTTTTCCCCACCCTGTGATGATTTATGCAAACGTGAGAAAGGGGTCCTATCCTATCCAGAATGCCACTGTAACCGCTACCATTGAGCCGGAGACTGGAGAGCCTGTTATGCTGAAACTTCTTGATGATGGAGCAGGTGGGTGACAAGGAAAGGTATGTGATCTACGTGATCATTTTCTTCTTGTTCTCAGGTGCTGGGATGTGGTAGTATCAACATTATGCCTATCTGTAAAATTCCTGCAACTCAATCATGTCGCTCATTCAGTCATATCCAACTCCTGAATTCTCACAGAATCACTGACATACTGAGCAGCTACAGGTTGACTTGGGAAAAGACAATTCCCCAGGGGCTCCTAAAGGTCAGCAAGAGGTGGGAGGAAGTTGCCCAACCTCTGGGTCTAGGCTTCTTCATGACCAGTGGCACTGACCACTCTCACTTCGTGAGGTCCCACAGGTCCCACTGTATGTCATATGACATACCCTTACCCCTCCAGGAGTCACTGGTTTCACTCTATGAAATAATCAGTTAGACAACTAAAAGAGCAAATGAAACCCAAAAAGGAAGAGACAGTGAAAGACCATTCCTTCCCTGTTGAATCCAGTAGTGAGAAGGGGGGAAAAAAAACATTGAAAATTGAAATTGTGATCCAGGAGCTGACTCTAGACTATTCTTTGGGCAGTTGTTGGGATGATGAGAAACAGCTTAGCCAGAGCCTTTGAAGTGAAGTGTGTGAATTGGTCCCCAGGAGATCAGTCCATTAAGCCCAGTGGCATCACAGCACCGATTCTCACACCCCTGGGAAAACAAAGCAAAACCCCACTCCAGCGTTCTCATTCTGCACACACAGAGTTCACAGCCTCATTGTCACCCAGGAAGGACAGCACAGCAGCAGGCCAGGCAGATGGCAGCACTTGGGCTCTTTCTCACTGTTTTTTGACCTTTAAAAACAAACTCTTTTGTTGTGCCATCTTCCTATTCTGTTTTTCTGCTAAACTAAATTCTCAGGATGACAACAGATCTTGAAGTCTATGTTGGCAGTCCCTAGTGTTTCCATCTGCTAATAAAATTCTATTCCTTTTCTCTGTTGTTTCAGAGGTAGGTCTGGTTTTTGCTCTTTGGAAGTTTTTTTTCCCCCTGAGTCTTAGGTTTGGCAGCCTATTGGGTATCTTGTCATGGCATTGTGCCTGGCATTTATAAAACAGAAGATCATTCAAAGGATTTTCATTCAAGCCTATCTCAGAGATACCTGAAAATTCTTGTTGTGCTTATTGGAATGGATCCAGATGAACTCTTCGTGCTCTGCCTGCTTACCCACAGTCCAATGTGATGTACTTTGCAGAATGTTTCTCCTTTTTGGCAGTCTCTGGACTGATCTGGAGAACAGATCCTGTTCTCCTGGGCAAAAATATTTAATTCAGTTCAATAGCATTTTGTACATATTTCCTGGAACCATTTCATTTATTTGATATCTAAATGTATACCCTAATGAAAGAAATAGTGAGAAGTACTACTTTTGCATGAAACTGTGAATCTGGTTCCCCTCACGCTTATTTCTTTCTGTCTTAATGATTAAAAGAGATGGTAGCGATAACTGTGATATGGAGAGATTTTCCTGAGTAGCTTCTCAGCAAATATATACCTTCTTATTTACTAATCAGTAAGTCACTACATGCTAAGATTTTATTTTTTCCACCAGTTTTTTTTTCCTAAATAAACCTTGATAGCAAGATGTTTTAGCTCTTCCTACTTTATTTAAATATACCCCTACTTTCCTTACATTAGGAACCCTGCTTCTGTAGTGGGGAATAGGGGGATTCCAGAGCACTGTAGCAATGACCCAATCCCGGCTCAGGGCTGGGGTGTGCTGTGAGAACTGATTTGACCTCTAGGATAGGACAAGCTGCTTGCCCCATATGGCCACCTGTGTTTGAATAGTGAATGTGCTGTTTTCTTGGGCTAAGCTGTACCTCCTCCGACTGCGGCCTTAGGATCTAGGCCCTCCTGCCTTTCAGTCATGGACTTGACTTGGAGATGAACTGCTCTCTCTGGGGATGAATGTGAAGGGAGGAGGTCTAGCACTGGCCAAGCTTTCGGCATGGCCACTTGAAGCTAGGCACAGTGGGCAGAATGTACATTCTGACCATCTGCAGATCAACAACCCCTGAGGATCCAGACCAGCCGTTCCACGCACCTTCTAATGAGGAGATCAGGGGATTTCACACCTCTTCACCACTGTTTATCAACCATGGCTTTTATTCATAAAGCATTCATTGGATGAAAATGTGTATATTTGCATGGATATTCATTTCCTGGGGGCCAGAATAACATCTATCTTTTTATCTCAGAAGGGTCTGTGACCATAACCAAGCTTAAAAACGTGCTTAGTTTCATGAAAAAAAAACTAGTATTATTTTCAGTGATAGGAATGAAAGCACTTTAAAGATGATTCTCAAGCCTTTATTAACACTGAAGGGGCCAGCACTGTGGCATAGTGGGTAAAGCCGCTGCCTACAGGGCCGACATCCCATATGGGCACTGGTTTGAGTCCCGGCTACTCCACTTCTGATCCAGCTCTCTGCTATGGACTGGGAAAGCAGTAGAAGATGGCCCAAGTCCTTGGGCCCCTGCACCCACGTAAAGGACCTACAAGAAGTTCCTGGCTCAGCTTCAGATCAGCTCAGCTCCGGCCATTGCACTCATTTGGGGAGTGAACCAGCAGAAATGAACCTTTCTCTCTCTCTTTCTCTAAGCCTCTTCCTCTGTGTAACTCTGCCTTTCAAATAAATAAATAAACCTTTAAAAAAAACACTGAAGCAGGTAAAATTCACTCATCATTGGAAATAACTTTCAGAGGTTAAGGAATCACAGGCAGCAATTATGGAGTCATCAGCTTTTAATCACTTGATAATTTCAAAAGTAGTTATAACCATGATAACACATGCTTAAATGGAGAGGATAAAGGAAATAAATCTTATCTTTAATGACTTATGAGTTCTACATATCAATAATCCACTGTGATGACAAGTGTTGACATGGAATTTCTGATTGTTTATACAGGTGCTGATATTATAAAAGATGACGGAATTTACTCAAGGTATTTTTTCTCCTTTGCTGTAAGTGGTAGATACAGCTTGAAAGTACATGTCAGCCACTCTCCCAGCATACATGTCCTCGCACACTCTGTTCCAGGGAGCCATGCCATGTATGCACCAGGATACATAGCAAACGGTAAGCATCATTAGCACTGTTGTTTGGCTCTCATCCTTTTTTGTGTATCTCTCTGGGGTACGTGTGTCTGTCTGTGTGTGTATTAGAGAGACAGAGGGATGAGAAAAAGAGTCGGAATTTTGAAACTCTTTGTACTTAAATCAGTACATAATCTCCTGACTATCTTGTCAGTCCTCAGTGATTCAGTGGTAGTAGGTACCAGGCAGGCAATAGGTAATTCCCACAGGGTACTCCTACCTTCATTTTAATAACCATTTTGACCTCTGTCGTGTGACTATTTCACCAGAATTACTGATAGATACAGAGATTGGTTGAGTTTTCTCAGTTCTTAACCCTGTATTTCCTCCATAGAGGTTTGGATGAGGCAAAGACAAAAAGTCTCTGACAGTTGAAAGATGAAAACCAGCGGCCCAAACGATCCCCCCAGCAAATGAATTCCTGATAAAGATGAGCTTGGATGTTTCAGACAACTGAGCACTCTCGGATTCTGCTTTCCCTCAAGATAAAAATGTCAAATAAACAGAAGATGCACATCTTTTTATTTTTAACATCATTTGTTTTTTGGTTCCTGGTGGGAAGTGCTGGTGAAATCTGGCAAATAGAATTATATCATCCTGTAGTCTTTCAAAACATTTCTTCTAAGCATTTTTATCTCTAAAACTTTGTGTCACTTATGACACAGTTATAGTTAATCATTGGGACTATTCCGCAATATGATTCTACATTTTTTTGTTCTACATATACTGTCACTAGAAAACAGTCGAGACACTACAATGGATTTGCATCTCATGGTCTTTTTTGTGTCACCTAGAACACAGTTTACTCTCATCTCTATTTTAAATAATTTAGATTATTTCAAAAACAGTGTAAATCAACTGCCAAGGCAACGTGATTTTGTTGCATAGAGATGATTTTTTATTTTGAAAGCTACTAGCTGACAGGCTTAGTCCTAGCAAGTTGGGATATCAAATAGAGTAAGAACTTGATTTTTATCAAGGAGCTTGCAGGCTTCAGGCTGAGCTGGGTATCTTTTTAAAGCCATGGTCAAGGAGGCAAATACCAGTACTTAGAGTACAGTGATGTTAGAGACATTCAAGTATGATTTTATTTATGCACTTCATATAGACCCTTTAGAGCACAGAAGAGAAGAAACCAGGTTTCCCTGTGCTTGCCTCGTATACCTAATATTCAGTTTACCAGATCATATTCAAGCAACGACCTTGAGCAAACACTTCCCTGAAAAATGGCAGCTGCTCTGTTTCCACACCGCCAAATCTCCTGACACAGCAGCAATGGCGTCCTTCATCTACCAGCTAGTGGCCACCCTCTACTCCTTCCCATCCAGTTCCTTGGAATGTATCTGAGCCCTCTGACTACAACTTCTCACCTCCAGTTTACCACTCTGCTCACTGACATCTCACTTCCACCCTCACCACCCCGCCAGACTCTCTATGGCCCTAGTCCCGGTGACCACCCCGGTTTCCAATTCTCCTTCTCTGGAGGTTTTTTTTTTTTTTTTTTTTTTTTTTCAGGTTCTTATTCCAGCATCTCTTTGTCTGCTGGATCTCTAAATCTTGGCAGTTCTCTGAGCCCAGTCCAAACCTCTTCACGCTGCCAGCTGAGCCATGTTACTTGGGTTTGAAACCGGTTCCCCAGTTGTTAACTATTTGACTTTGCAAGTTACTTCTCTTCTGTATGCCTTATTTTATTACTTACAAAAATGGGGGTGATAATTGTACCCTTATCATAGCCCTGCTCAAAAATTAAATATCTGAGGGGCTGGTGCTGTGGCATAGCAGGTAAAATCCCCGCCTGCAGCTCCCACATCCCATATGGGCTCTGATTTGAGTCCTGGCTGCTCCACTTCCAATCCATCTCCCTGCTAATGCACCTGGGAAAGTAGTGGAAGATGGCCCAAGTGCTTGGGCCCTTGCACCCACATGGGAGACCCAGATGAGGCTCCTGGATGCTGGCTTTGATCTGGCCCAGCCCTAGTGTGCAGTTATTTGGGGAGTGAACTAGCAGATGTTCTCTTTGTCCCTCTGCTTCTCCCTGTATGTAACTCTGACTTTCAAATAAATAAAATAAAAATATTTTAAAAAAGAAAATTAAATATTTGACATATATAAAGTACTTAGAAATGTCTCTGGCACATGGTAGATATTAAATAAATACTACTTCTCATTGGTCTCTTTCTCCTTAGCCTACCGCTATTCTAAAGTTGTTCATTCCTAGAAACTATTGTTTGTAACCAACTTCCCCCTTCATCATTCCATGTTCAAATCTGCCACCATCTTTTGCTGATTTTGTCTCTGAAAAACATCTGGAGCTTCCTCTTTCTTGCCTCTCCTTATTGCTATCATCCTCATTGCTGTTTTCTGTCATCTGAACGTTTTGTTTTGTTTTGTTTCTTTTGGAGAAGCAGAGAAACAGAGAGATCAGCCATCTGCTGGTTGACTCTCCAAATGCCAGCAACAGCTGGGACAGGGCCAAAGCCAACACCGGGAGCCAGGAACTCCATCTGGGTTTCTTATGTAGGTGCAGAGACCCCAAGTACTTGAGTTATCACTGCTGCCTTACAGTGTACACATCAGCAAGAAGCTGAAATCAGAGGCAGGGCTAGGACCTGAAGTCAAAAACTTCAATATGGGGGCCGGCGCCGTGGCGCAGTAGGTTAATCCCCCGCCTGCGGTGCCAGCATCCCATATGGGTGCCAGTTCTAGTCCCGGTTGCTCCTCTTCCCATCCAGCTCTCTGCTATGGCCTGGGAAAGCAATAGAAGATGGCCCAAGTGCTTGGGCCCCTGCACTCATGTGAGAGACCAGGAAGAAGCTTCTGGCTCCTGGCTTCAGATCAGCGTAGCTCCGGCCATTGTGGCCATTTGGGAAGTGAACCAACAGAAGGAAGACCTTTTTCTCTGTCTGTCCTTCTCACTGTCTGTAACTCTAACTCTCAAATAAATAAATAAAATCTTAAAAAAAAAAAAAAAAAAACTTCAATATGGGTTACTGTTGTCCCAAGTAGGGCATTTTGCTCGTTTTCTGTTTGTCCTCCACAGGCAGAGTGGACAGTGAGAAAGAGAGACAGACAGAAAGGTCTTCCTTTGCTGTTGGTTCACCCTCCAATGGCTGCCACGGCCAGCGCGCTGAGACTGGCACACCGCGCTGATCCGAAGCCAGGAGCCAGGTGCTTCTCCTGGTCTCCCATGCGGGTGCAGGGCCCAAGCACTTGGGCCATCCTCCACTGCACTCCCGGGCCATAGCAGAGAGCTGGACAGGAAGAGGGGCAACCAGGACAGAATCCGGCGCCACAACCGGGACTAGAACCCAGTGTGCTGGCGCCTCAGGTGGAGGATTAGCCTAGGGAGCCGCGGCGCCGGCCCCAAGTAGGGTCTTAACTGCGGGGCCAGACACCCACTGCTCCCCTGAACTAAAGAATGGCTGTCTGAGTGGCCTCATTGCTTGCTGTGCCTTAATTCACTCTCCACCAGGTTGCCAGGGTGACTTTTTAAAAAGAAAATACCTTCATATCACTGCCTGCTCCCTTCCAGGATGTAAGATTAAAATCTAAACCCAACTACATTGCTCCACAAGACCCTCTTCTGTTTCCTCCCAAACTACTCTCCTCCTGTCTTTAGTTTGTTTTCCTGCAAAACTCTCCTGCATTTGAGCATTCTTAACTGAACTGATCCCTCTGCTGTAATGTTCTACCTCCATTCTTTTAATTTTTTAAAAATATTTATTTATTTGAAAGGCAGTGATACAGAGAGGCAGAGAGAGAGAGAGTCTTCCATCCACTGGTTCACTCACCAATTGGCTGCAACAGCCGGAGCTGAGCCTATCTTAAGCCAGCAGCCAGGAGCTTCTTCTAGGTCTCCCATGTAGGTACAGAAGCCCAAGGATTTGGGGCCATCTTCTACTGCTTTTCCAGACCATAGAACAGAGCTGGATTGGAAGTGGAGCAGCCAGGACTTGAACTGGTGGCCATATGGGATACCAGCACTGCAGGTGGTGGCTTTCCCCACTACCTCTGTTTTTTACCTCTTACTCCTACAACTATTAGGAAACATTGAAATGTTGCTTCCTTGATAACCAACCTAAGTTATGCATCTGTGTTGTTTTCCTTCATATCACCCTGCCTCTTTTCCATCTTATATTTATAATAATGATAAACATATTTATTAATGTGATCAATGACTGTAAATTCAGGAAGGGTACCATTTTGTCTGTGATAACTGACACAGCATATGTGAATGGATGAATGATTGAATAAACAAACTCAAAGAAACTCAGTTATTCTTTTTGTATGTTTTGAAAGGCAGAGTTACAGAGATAGAGCCACAATGCCAGCCCCACAAACTCTGTTATTCTAAAGATATAGTTAAGGAAAAAAGCTTTGGAAAAGGCTCTTAATAATCTGCCAAAACCAAAGTGTTCAAGAGATTCCTAATGTGTGGGTTTGGTTATTTTTTCTTTTGTGTTCCAGGTAATATTCAGATGAATGCACCGAGAAACTCGGTGGGCAGGAGAGAGGAGTGGGCTTTTAGCCGAACGAGCTCAGGGGGCTCCTTCTCAGTGCTGGGAGTCCCAGCCGGCCCCCACCCTGATGTGTTTCCACCGTGCAGAATTACAGACCTGGAAGCTGCCAGAGCGGAAGAGGAGGTGACCTTATCTTGGACAGCGCCTGGAGAAGACTTCGATCAGGGCCAGGGTAGGTTTGCTGACTTCATTACATATTTTTCCCCCACTAAAGAGCGTTTCTAGAAATTGCATCAGAACTTAGCTGAGTGAAAGTGCTTTGGGAGTTTAGAGCTGAAAAAGCTGCAGAGAGTTGTCCTGAGAAGCTTTGCATTGCTGATAAGCCATAAGTCCCAGTGTGCCCCAGGAGGGATAAGGCCCTTGGTAACTCACCACCGCTGATCCTTCAGAAACCTTGATGGCAAACAGTAGTGTGCTCTAGGTAGCAGCAACAGAGTGAGTGCTTCCAAAGCCTGGAGGTCATTTATTTTTCTCAAAATAGAACAATGGGTATTTATTCATGTTTTCACAAGTCAGGTTTAGGGAAATGTTTCCCACAACTCATGGAAGCCTTGGCTCACTACCCTCTCTGACTCTGGCTGTCATTTTTCTTAGGGACACTGGGAGCAGCCTCTTGATTTAGGGCTCCCTTACCCTTCCTTGGGTGGACACTGATGGAGTGCCGCCTTTATCTTTTCCTTGTCTAAGGCCTCTGCTAACTGTCAGGCTTCCTCCCACATCTCCTTTTTCTAGATTTTTACCTATTTATAAGAGTACCATTTATTGAGAAAGTTAAATTTCCCCCAATTAACTTTGATTCCACCTTTCTCATGTCCTAAATTCCTGCATGTATTTTGGTCTATCTTTGAATCTATGTCTATTCAAACTCCAGCAGACAGTGCTTTTGCAAATGAGGTATTACAGTGTTTTTCTATCTGATAGGGTTAATCCTTCTACCTGTTACTTTTTAGATTTTAATATATATGACTGACCATTTTTGACCATTTATTTTTAAGGCAGAAATTATAAGAATTTTTAGTTTATTTATTTGAAAGTCAGAGAGAGAGAGAGAGAGAGAGAGAGAGCAAGAGAGAGAGAGAAATCTCCCAAAAGCTGATTCACACCTCAAATGCCCACAACAGCCAGGGTTAGACCAGACTGAAGCCAGGAGCCAGGAACTCCATTTAGGTCACCCTCATAGGTGACAGAGACCCAACAATTTGAGCCATCACCTACAGAGTACACATAAGCAAGAAGTTAGAATCAGAAGCAGAGCCAGGATGGAAACCCAGACATGCCAGTGAGAGAAGGGCATCCCAAGTAGTATCTTACACACCATATCAAATGCCTGCTCCTACAGACATTTTTAATAGAATCACAGCAAATTCACGAAACAAATTGGGAGAAATAATATCTTTACTGTGCTCAATCTTGCTTTTCAGAAATGTATGTCCTCTTGTTCAGGTTTCAGTAATGGGTCCTCATGTGGTATTTTTAATGTTTTTCATATTCGTATTTCTAGTTTTGTTTAATCTCAGGTATTTTGCATTTTGTTATTATTTTCGTTAGTTATTGCGAATAAACTAGAAAAGCTAAGGTGACTTAACCAGCCAATTTATATTTTTGAATTTCAGCTACAAGCTATGAAATAAGAATGAGTAATAGTCTACAGAATATTCAAGATGACTTTCACAATGCCATTTTAGTGAATTCTTCAAAGCTAAATCCTCAGCAAGCTGGCACCAGAGAGATATTTATATTCTCACCCACATTTTTCATAAATACACCTGAATATCAACTTGTTCGAGAAACCCAAGACAGCCACAGAATTTATGTGGCCATTCGAGCAGTGGATAGAAACTCCTTAAAGTCTGTTGTATCTAACATTGCCCAAGTGTCTCTGTTTATTCCCCCAAATTCTGTTCCTGTGCTTGCCAGAGATCATCTTATATTGAAAGGAGTTTTAATAGTGATTGGTTCAATAGGAATGATTTGCCTTATTATAGTTGCAACACATTGTACTTTAAATAGGAAAAAGAGAGCAGACAAAAAAGAAAATGGAACAAAATTACTATGAAGAAGCCTATACACTACCTTCTTTCTTAAATATAAGACCTAGGACCTTCATACTTTGTAAAAACTTACCAACAAAACCAAATTAATGTAAAAAATGTATTAAAATCCATTGAGTTTTATAAACTACAGGTCAAATTTTTGCATGATAAATAAAAATATTCTGTAATACTCATTTTTGGAGAGTGAACTAGATAGCCCTTAGACTGGCTATGGAGAAACAATAAAAGTTACTCTTCAAGATAATTCTGTTAAAAGCAAAGGCAAAGGCAAAGTTGAATTAAAGCCAAGAAATCGATGTTTAATTGAAGTAGAGAAAAGTTTAGGTAGCTGTGTGAAGCAATTGCTTAGTTACTTTGATTAATTTTCCTTTTATCCTTATCTGTATGGAATAGGTTGCTTGTTTATGACTGAAGATCAAGTTGCATTTTATATACGAAGCCCCTGTTGTAGAGTTCTTTACCTCTTGCCTTTTGGTTAAATATCCCACAGTTCAAACTCCATAATTGCTCAAAGAGATCTTTTTTCAATGTAGGAAATAACCTTAAAATATGGGTATTATCCTTGTTCCTTCATAATGCTTTTGTAACAAAGGTTTATTGAATTTATTGTTTATCAAAGCAATGTTCTCAGTTACTGCCTTGAGAATTATAGGATGAAAATGGTTAGAACTCTCACAAGGCTTTAAGTCAAGAATAAAAGATATTATTCTGAGTTTATTTTAATACATAAATGACTCATATGCTTTTATTCAATTTCAACCAAAGAAGAGGTCAGCTGGAGAGATCAGTGTTTGGAAATTGTCAGGTTGTTCTGCTCATTTGTTAAATAGGGTCTGGAAACCTTTTTGTCATAGAGCTATTTACCAAGAACAAGGGAACAGTGAAGCACAGGCCACAGTGAAATGAAAATCCTCTTTCACCTAATTTTACTTTTAAGTTTTAAAAAAGGGAATTGAGCAAGAAATCATTTGGTTTTTAAATTAAAGAGCTTAAAATTTTATTGAATATATATAATAAATAATGTAGAATAGATCTCAGTTTTGTAACTAGATCCAATTAAGAATGAAAACTTGATTATGTTTTGGGGAGGGATATGTGGGGAACTGGAACAGGAAGAAAGAGACCGTATGAAACCCTGAGTGAGAGACTCATAGCAGTGCTGGCAGGGGCGGGGGGACAGCAGCAAATTTCTCTGCCCAGGTCTCCCTCCCCCTTGAATATTACACTACAGCCTGTTGTGAACTTACCCACATGAACTTCTAAGTCTCACAGTGGCTGCATCCTCACAGAATAAATGACAAAAATAGAAATTTGCATGTGTGTACATATATGTAATGTTTACATATGAAGTGAATATGGTAAAATCTTAAACCTTGTTAAATGTTGAAAAATGTTAAAGATTGTATTCATTGAAATCTTTTTTACACTTTTATGTATTATTTGAAATATTTTCAAATAAAAAGACAAACTGTGTATCTCCAGAGACAGGAAATCATTGTATCAAAGTGATACCTGCTCCACCAGGTTTATTGTAGCATCATATACAACAGCCAACATATGGAATCGACCAAGGTACCCATAATCAGATGAATGGATAAAAAAATGAATACTATTCAGCCATAAAAATAATGAAATCTTGTCATTTGCAGCAAAAATGGGTGGAAGTGGAGAATGTCATATTGAGTGAAATAAGCCAGACACACAAATAATGAACAACACCCAAGCTCCTTCTATACCCTTCCCACCACTCCCAGCTTTTAGCTATCAATTTTCAGTATTAGTGCTTCCATTATGGAAAACAGTATGGCAGTTCCTCTGTTGGAGGAAGGGAAGAGAAGGGGATGAAATCAGTATGTTGAGGAGATATGTGCACTCCTGTTTTTACTGCAGCATTATTCGTACTAGCCAAGATTTGGAAAAAACCTAAATGTCTATAAACAGATGAACTGAGAAAACATGGTACACACACACACACACACACACAATAGAATACTATTGGTCCATTAAAAAAAGAAAAATATCCTGTCATTTGCACAATATGGATGAAACTGGAAAAGTAAGTCCATATTACTTAAACTACTAGATATTAAGACTTACAAAGAAGCAGAAACTGAGACAGTGTATTACTGGGGTAAGGATGGTCACGTCAGCATCCTGTGGGACAGGGAGCAGAACAGAGGGTTTAGCTACAGACCGGTACATGTGCAGTCACCTCATTTATAACAAAAGCACAACTGGAACTCAGTGGAGGAAATTATGGTCTTTTTAATAAAAGCTGTGGGTCTATTGGCTATCCATTGAGAAAAACAGAACAAGATAAAACTTTGACTCTTACCTCATACCACACACAAAATAATTGAGATAAATCATATACCTTAGTACTAAAGGTAAAATAGTAAAACTTCTGGAATAGAATATTATATAATATCTTCAGTAACTGGGAAAGCCATTTTAAATATTATACAAAAGACACTATAAATAAGATTAAATTGAGTTCCATTAGAATAAAAACCTCTGTCCATCAATGGATACCATTAAGCCAAACTGCAAACTGAGAGAAGACATTTGCAAAACAACGAAAGAGCCAATATCCGGAACATATTAGGTATTACTGCAAATCAATAAGAAAAGAGCAACAACTTAGTTTATAAGTTGGATGAAAAGACTTGAGCAGGAACTTCACAAAAGAGAATATCCAAATGACCAATAAATCTATTAAAAAGTGCTTAACGGCTGGAGCCGCAGCTCACTAGGCTAATCCTCTGCCTAGCGGCGCCGGCACACCAGGTTCTAGTCCCGGTCGGGGCGCCGGATTCTGTCCTGGTTGCCCCTCTTCCAGTCCAGCTCTCTGCTGTGGCCCAGGAGTCCAGTGGAGGATGGCCCAAGTGCTTGGGCCCTGCACCCGCTTGGGAGACCAGGAGAAGCACCTGGCTCCTGGTTTCGGATCAGTGCAGCGTGCTGGCCGTAGCGGCCATTTGGAGGGTGAACCAACAGAAGGAAGGCTTTTCTCTCTGTCTCTCTCTCACTGTCTATAACTCTCTCTTTTTCTCTCTCACTATCTAACTCTGCCTGGCCAAAAAAAAAAAAAAAATGCTTAACGGCTTGTCATTGAGGAAAATGCAACTCAAAAGTACAGAACAATGCAACTACACACTCAAGAGGTAAACTCTGGGGACCAAGAGTAGCATGTGCTGGGAGAAATGTGAAGTGACTGGAACAGTCATGTTGGACAGTGTTTGGGAGTTCAACTAAAGCCAGTATTAAAGAAAAGTTTTTCCTGCACTTGTTCCAGATGCCAGGGGAGACCCTGGCAATCTTACCGGGACCACAGCACTAGGGCTTGCTGTGAAGGAGAGACATGGGATTTAACTCAACGCTAACACAGACAGGTGGGGATTTATAACCAAGGAGCAGGGTGGGCTCAGTGGATGCAATATTACTAAGAGGAAGCATCAAAGATCATGGATGTCTGGCTAGCCTGACTTGATAGGATTATTGCTGTGAAAGTGAGCCCTAGTGACAAGATCTTGAAGGCAGCCAGGTACCAAGGGTGGGGAGCATTCCCTGAACTGACTTGCAGGATGTTTGTTCAGCCTGGATTCTACAAGGAGAGAGGGAAGCCTGAGTCAGGCCTAGTCAGCAAGGATTCTGGACCATGACTGAAGTTTTGATCAAAGGAGAGAGTCTTAACTCGACAAACCCGGCAACCTACTCTTGACATATACTCAACTGAATCAGTGTTTACACCTATGGCAGTTTCATTCCTAATAGCCCCAAACTGGAAGGAATCTAAATGCTCATCAACAGCAGATGGAATGTAAGTTGTAGAATCCTTCTTTTTTTTTTTTTTTTTTTTGACAGGCACAGTGGACAGTGAGAGAGAGACAGAGAGAAAGGTCTTCCTTTTCCATTGGTACACCTCCGCAAGTGGCCACTACAGCCGGTGCTTTGTGGCCAGCGCGCTGTGCCGATCCGAAGCCAGGAGCCAGGTGCTTCCTCCTGGTCTCCCCTGCGGGTGCAAATCCCAAGGACCTTGGCCATCCTCCGCTGCACTTCTGGGCCACAGCAGAGAGCTGGCCTGGAAGAGGGGCAACCAGGACAGAATCTGGCGCCCCGACCTGGACTAGAACCCGGGGTGCTGGCGCCACAGGCGGAGGATTAGCCAAGTGAGCCACGGTGCTGGCCAGAATCCATTTAGAACAGAATACAATGAAAAAGGAACTTATTCCTGCTATGGGCAACCACACAGCCAAATTTCATTCAGAAAATGTTACATCACAGTAGCCAGATTCAATAGTCTAAGAGTGAATTGTACATTCTTGCTTATAGGAAGTTCAGAAACAGGCAAAATTAATCTATGTGGCAAGAGAGACCAGAAGAGTGCTTATCTTTGGTTTTGGTTTGGGAGGAAACATGAAAGAGGCTCTTAGGGTGCTGAAAATGCTGTGTGTCTTTGGGGAAGTTTGTGCTTGCACCTCTGGCTTGTGTTCTTTGGCCCATGTGGGCTGCACCTGACAAAGCTACCATCCAGGTGCCCTGGGACAGTGCTTCATGTGAGCCCAAACCTTTGTGCAATTGTTCAGGCCAGACTTGGTCACCAGGGAAAGTGAAGCTGTCACCGTAGCCTGCACAGTAGATGGGACATGCTGAACCAGGTCCCTTCTCTGGCGGAAACCAAGAAGAGCCAGTGTTGAGAGCAGATGAGAGACTCTCCATGGAGCCTGCAGCAAAGGCCAAGCCAATCTGCCTGGGCATCTCCAGTGGGTGTGCACACCAGTCCTAGGCAAAGGCAGCAGATGTATCCCAACAAGCACAGGGTAACTAGGGCCCCCTTGAGGCAGGAAAGGATGGGAGTACCGTAGCTGGCAATTAATCAATACAGATCAGCCAAAGCGCTGGCTAGGAGTGAGGGAAACAGGTGATAAAGAAGGGAGATTGTAAATACCTATAATGGCCTTGAAGCCAGCTGGAGCAGCAGCAGGCACTGCAGTCCATTTCTGTAACTCTCTTGCCTTAAGTATCTTAGGAGATTGTGATCGGCCACCACTCTGAAGGACAGTCTGTGAATTACTGGACTTGCATCTTCTCGTGGGGAAAAGGTGACAGCTTGAGCTCTCTCACACACAAAGGACAAACCCTACATTGTCCCATTGACACTAGATATGATGAACGTGAATCTGAGGAATTCAAAGAGCTGGACTGCATTGGGTTGGTTTTACTGAGCATCACTGGATTTTCTTGGTCTACCATCGGTACCCTTGGTCCCTTGCTCCATCATGGGCATGGTCTGTGCCTTGCAGGCCCAAATGGTTCTGTTGCCTGAGACACATCTTGGAATCCACAAAACTGCTAGAGGGCAGAAGGGCCAGGGAAGTTGATTGTCAGTAAAAGGTGAGCAGGGGCCAAACTCACTTTCTCTTCCTCCCATGAACAGCTCCACCGTGTGGTTCCTTTGTGTAGCCCTGGAGAAGACATCCTCCAAGGCAGGGCAAGTGGCTCTGCTACCTGGCCAGCTGGGTGTCCCCGTTAGTTCTCAGTGGCTAGACTTGTAGTGCTTCTCCTCCCATCGCTTCCCAGGTTTCTCTGACTCATTTCCCCTTCTCCGCACGCTCACTGCTCTGGGATTAATTTTCAGATAAACCAGTAGCATATAAGCTTGTCACTGGCTCTATTTTCTAGGAAATACAGGCAAAGACACTTAAGTTGGGTAGTCCAGATATCTTGGGACCTATTTTTTTTAATGTTGTATGTAAATAAAGGTGTACATATTTTTATGTAGAAGTGCATTTTGGATCACCTGGATAACCACTTTATAATTTATTGCTTCCATACTATTTCAATGCTTCACTTCCAGTTGCTTAAGGTTATGTTGTAATGGGTACTGATTTAATTTTTCATGAGATTGTCAAAGAAAAGGGACAGATGAGCTGAAATCAATGCTTACTACTCTCTGAAGACCAAATAAAGTATGGATGAAGGATAATAATTTGCATACAGGAAATCTGAATTTTCATCTGAGGTTTGGTGAACTTAAAAGATTCTCTGCAGCAGGGGCCAGTGCTGTGGCCTGTGGCACTGGCATCCCATTTGGGTGCTGTTTTGAGTCCCGGTCGCTCCTCTTCTGATCCAGCTCTCTGCTGATGGCCTGGGAGAGCATGGAGGTTGGCCCAAGGCCTGGACTCCAGCACCCATGTGGGAGATCTGGAGGAAACTCCTGGCTCCTGGCTCCTGGCTTCAGAGTCACTCAGCTCCAGCCACTGCGGCCATTTGGAGAGTGAACCAGTGGATGGAAGACCTTTCTTTCTGTCTCTCTCTCTCTCTCTGTGTGTCTGTAATTCTACCTCTCAGTTAATAAAATAAAACCTAAAAAAAAGAAGAATCTATGTAGCCGACAGTCCATATTTCATATGTGGAGTGACATTTAATTTCAGCAAAATAATGTATGTTCATTTGAATGTTGCTGGCTGACAGAAGATGTAGAAT